CCCCCCCCCCCCTTTTGAGTTGATCCGATTTTGGAGCGCTTTTCTCCATTTCCTTTAGGGTTTTTGTTCGTGGGTATGGTGCAAGTTTGATTTCCAATCTTTCTTCTTCCAGTTCCTGCGACATGACCTCTGCTTCTGTCCCTTTGGGCTGTAACTCATATTGTTCTATTCTATCATCATCATCGCACATCCACCTCAAGTATTTGCCAGTGATCTGCTTGGGATATGTAGATTTCATGAACTGACTATGGCTTCTTGTCTTGTCTCTGATGCATTGAATGTCACGACTCACGTTGCTGCTGACTATTTCAAGAGCCTGCATAAGTTAAAACATTTGGCGTTTGATGATCTTGAATCTTCACTGGAAAGTCATATTTTCTGTGATCCCCACCTCAATCAGAGATGCCTTTAGAGCCAAAGATCTCATCTTTCGCCCCTTTAGTTTGTATTTTTTTTTTCAAATTCTTGAATTTGTAAACGTGGTTTCCCTATTTAGGAGCTCGAACTGTAGGTTTTGTGTTCTACTGCTTCAGTGTCTCTGGCATGTATATCTTGATCGATATTGAGTTCAAATCTCCGCTTTCTAAGTGATTGTTTTTTTTTCCAACTGTGAAAGAGGATAATGTGCTTTTGTCCTAACAGATGGATTCGATGTTTCTTGGTCATGACAGATGGTGTTTGCCCTCCATTGAGGAGGGTTCTGCTGATGATTGCTGTGATGCTGTAATGGCAGGTGGGGAGAGCTCTGGGATCTTTGAGATGTTAGAATCCATCAAGCCTCCACCTGCCAAGAAATCCCGAAAAGAACGAAATCGTGGCAAGTCATATGCAGAAGAAACCAACTCGAATGAAAGCATGGATCGGGAAATCTGGCAGGAATTTCCCGAGGACCTGTTCGAAGATGTGCTTGTCAGACTCCCGATTGCCACGTTTTTCAGGTTTCGCTCAGTTTGCCAAAAGTGGAACTCTCTGATCGAGTCGGAGAGTTTCTCTGGACGGTTCACCGATGTTCCACAGATCTTCCCTTGGTTCTACACCATATCCCACGAAAACGTCAACTCGGGGGCTGTTTACAACCCTTCTTTGGAAAAATGGCACCATCTCATTATCTCGGCACTTCCCGAGAGGACTATTGTTCTGCCAGTCGCTTCAGCGGGAGGTCTGGTGTGCTTCCTCGACATAGGTCACCGGAATTTCTACATTTCCAATCCACTGACAAAGTCCTTCCGGGAGTTGCCCGCTAGATCATTCAAGGTCTGGTCTCGAGTTGCTGTAGGAATGATTCTGGATGGAAAACCGACGAGCCAGGGGTATAAACTCATGTGGGTCGGATGTGAAGGAGACTATGAGATCTACGATTCCACGAGGCACGCATGGACTAAACGAGGGAGTGTGCCCTCCTGCATAAAACTTCCGGTTCTACTCAACTTCAAGTCCCGACCTGTGGCCATAGGTACCACCCTTTACTTCATGTTAACCGAGCCCGAAGGGATACTTTCCTACGAAATGGCCACGGGAAAATGGAAACAGTTGATAATCCCGACCCCGATGGATCTGACCGATCACACGCTGGCCGAGTGTGGAGGCCGGCTGATGCTGGTGGGTCTGATAAAGAAGAATGCAGCGACCTGTGTGTGCGTATGGGAGCTGCAGAAGATGACACACTTGTGGAAGGAGGTAGACAGAATGCCAAACGTATGGTGCTTGGAGTTTTACGGAAAGCACGTTAAGATGAACTGTCTGGGCAACAAAGGTTGTCTGATAATGCTGTCGTTGAGGTCCAGACAGATGAACCGTCTCGTGACTTACGATGTCAGTAACGGGGAATGGGCGAAGGTTCTTCTTCCCGGCAGCGGCCCTCGAGGAAGGAAGAGGCTTTGGATCGCAGGTGGTACCGCCTTCCATCCGTCCCCCTCCGACACCGCTTGATCTTATTTCCGGCCATCTTCTCCGTTCAGTTCAGTACAAAACGATTGCCTTGTATTGACTTTGGGTATGCTGAGACAAGCGTGGTTATTTCGGTTTCCGTTCAGCTATATTTGGTTTAAATTATTTCGGTTTTTTTTTTTATTTCAGTTTTATTGATAAAAAATATTTATCCAAAGATTTGTTTATTTTAAAAATATTACAACCATTTATATCGTATTAAATTCGATTAATCAGGGGCAACCTGTTTAAAAAAACCCAATTTGTATCAAATACAAGTAATCAAACTGAAGGATTAATCATTCCCAAATACCGCGAATTGGATTTGCAGAGATGGAAAAAAAAGTAAAAACTTTTCAAGATAGTTTCAAACAGCACGTGAGATAAAGAGACTCAAAATTCTTTACATTCTACCACGGTACATAGAAAAGGAAAGAGAAAAGACAAAAACATGAGACACGGTACAAGGTTTCTGATACTTTGGTCTTTCTAGTCCGGAGGTTGCAGAGTTCAAGCCATGCCTCCGCTAGTAGCTGTCCTGATAATTTGGAAGAGGGCTGTAACAGGAGACAACATCACCAAACAAGTCTTTATGTCATAGGATGTGGAGCCATATATGGGCATGATGATGTTGAGGAACTTATGATATGAATTGCTGTTTTGACAGCGTAGAGGTTGAAGAAAATATGCAGGACAAAGAGCAATGTAGCCATGATCAAAGGCTTTGGGATTAAACTATTCACACCCACAATTCTGGAATCAATCTCGGAACTTTTGATATCGCGGACATGACAATGCATACAGGACTGGACTAAGGCAAGGTTTAAATGTAATGGATCTGGAACGGGGGCTAGGAGTTATAGGCTAGAAGTGGGACTCACAGGATCCAATGACGACGAACACGAAGAATCCAAGGAGGATAGGACCAACCGGATAATCCTTCCCCTTCTTTGTGGTTGTTTCGGGCACAGCTCCTCTCTTCGTAATGTTCTTTTCAAACTTCTCAACCTTCCTGCCCGCGAGACGTCTTGATGTCGTCTGCAGAACACAAAATCAACCAGGTTAAAGATCACATTCCGTTCCGCAATGCCAATTTCACCAATGCGTCTTCCACGATTTCTAAAACGTTCAATTCGTTCAGCCTATGTTGCCAGAATTAGACACATACGATCTGCAAACCAATCGACACGCTCTCACGAATTTACACGAATTACGGGAAGCTAGCTCAACATGAGCACTGCCCGAGCCGTATTGCTACACATGGCAACATTGAATGCCTTCGATTACATTGAATGAAAAAAAAGGCATCTAAAATTTCATGAGCATCCGATTGATAAGATTCCAAGCAAGGAATGCGCCAACAAACATTCATGCAATGACAAAAATCCGCAAGCGAATTCCACATCTAGCGAATCGGATCAGAGATACGGATCGAAACTGGGGACGCGAACTCAATAACCAAATAATCCAAATCCAAAAGCTTCTAAGATGGAGACGGATCGAGATCGTACCATGATTACGCCGGAGAAGAATCCCTTTTAGCCGGAATCGATCAGAGCGACAAAGGAAATCAAATTGACGATCGCGAATAGAGAAAGCCCTTTGTCATCGCGTTTCCTAAATCTCTCCGTCCTAATAAAGGGCACAGTAATTCTAGTCTCACCTTGACCGTCGTCACAGCCTTTCCTTGATTGGTTTAGGAAATGTGTAGCCGAACACGTGGCAGGCTATGATTGGATTGAGAAGAGGAACATGGTTTTCAGAGGCTTATTACTGAAATTGACGAAATCGGACGTGTCTGGTTCATTCTGAGTTCTCATGCACGTCTCGGTTTTTCTTTTTCGTGTCAATATTTTCCGGACCACATATACATATTTATTTATTTATTTGGGTTATGAAAATCTAATTTACATTAAAAGTAAAAATGCGTGAATTTAAATAGGATGGAAGTAAGACGCATTCCCTCGCTACGTAATTTAATAAAATCATCCTGGTTCGATGAAAAAAAACAGGAACAAATTAACCAAAAAAAAAAACAGGAACAAATGTGAGGAAAAATGGGTAATTTTTCACTTTTCTTTGTCCATTTTTTCTTTTTTGGGTCATATGTACGTGCGACGGACCAGACCGAGAAAATGCGGACATGTCCGAGAAAACTGCAAACCTGTCCGAGATTCTGCGCACATGTCCGAGAAAAGCGCGTCCTGTCCGAGAAATCACGCACGCGTCCGATACCAGTACACGCACCTGTCCGAGAATTCACGCACGTGTTCGGACCAACCACCGAGAAACTCGGACCAGCAAGTTTCTCGGCACAGACCAGGAGACATGGACGGACGGGAAGGACCAAGGGACCGAGAAACACGGACGTCCGGAAATCTCGGACGCCCGAGAAACCCGCTCTGCCCGCAAAACCTCAGTCCTGTCCGAGAGACACTTGCGAGCGCGTCCAAGAAACTCTCAACACGGGACACGACGGGCCACAGACCTCGGATCAGCCTCGGACCACCAGGCCCAGCTTCCCACACCTCTCCAGCTCAGTTCCAAGTCACGTGCAAGCCCAGGCCACATCGGACGAAGCCCATGACCAAGAATGGCCGAAATCCATGGTCTTGGTCCATGACAAGTTCATGGACGAGCCCAATGGATTTTCTCATGGCCACTTCTTGGCCCAAGGGTCATGTCCGCCTCCTTAGTTGACTAGGTCTAGATTTAGCTTAGTTTGAATTTAAATTTGAATTTTGAATTTGAATTTAAATGAGGATCTTGAGGAGGGAATCATGGGAACCAATGTTGATTGCCTAAGAGGGTCTCAGCCTTAATAAAAAGACCTCGCCAGCCCCTTAGAGCAATCAGATCGGAAACCCCCACATTCTCATATTCTTGCATTCTCCTTCTCTCTTTTGCGTCGCCGGCTCGTTCCTTGGATGTTCCTCGGTGGTCTTTCAAACCCCGATCTCGTCCCCTCTTTGTACCGAGCCGCCGTCGATCTTGTGTACCTCTTTTTGATCATTAATAAACTAAGCCGTACCGTCGGCCTTCCCCTCTTTGGTTCTCTCGGATCTCTCTTCCCTCTCCTCCTTTCTTTCTCGGTTCTATACCAATTGTTAGGCTTAATCGCTCCTTGTTGGGTTCCCACACGTCCCACTTGGTCGATTGCCGCACGGATTGAGTATCCTCATACTCAAGCCCGTGACATTTGGTATCAGAGCCTGGTTCGCTCTCAAACGGACCAGCTCTCTTTCGCTTCCGCAACCTACTCTTTCACCGAGAATCCGAGAATCCTAGAGGACCGACGAGGCATGTCTGGATCAGGAGAGAACAACCCCCTCGTACAGGAGCATGCTTCTGAAGCCGAGAGTGGACGTGAGAGAGGCGTCGAACGCGACCCCATCCTCACGAGATCTCGATCTCGGGCCACCGAATCCAGCTTACCAACCGTAGAGGCACGTCTACGCGTTTTGGAAGAGGCAATGCCAACCTTGGACATCCGTCTAAGAACGTTGGAGGACTCGGAGGCTGAGCAAGACACACGCATGGAGGAGCTTGAGCAAGAGATCTCCGCCGTCGGGGAATCTACCAAGCATGTCCTCGATAACCTCGATCGGAAAACACAAGCTGATCGAGACATCAATGCTGAACAATTTCGGCTCATACGGGAAACGTATGACCGTGAGGTAACTAGTTTACGTGCTTTGGTGAACGAACTCACTCATGAGTGCAGGTCACTTCGAGAGATGGTGCAACGAGCCCCAAGTGGAGAACTTGACCGCACACCGAGGGAGCAAGTGGTCCGAGCACCCGAGCCTACCCATTACAACGGGGCTCGGAGCTCCGCAGTCGTGGAGTCCTTCCTCTTCGGCATGGAGCAATACTTCGAAAATGGAGGGATCTCGGGAGAGCAAATCAAAATCAAAGGCGCAACCATCTATCTCCGAGACCTTGCTCAATTGTGGTGGAGACGGACTTTGTTGGACCAAGAGCGACCAATCGTCACTTGGGATCAATTCAAGGCCGCTCTTCGCAACCAATTTGTGCCCACCAATGCATGAGACGAGATCCGAACCAAGTTTCGGCGTCTTCGTCAAACAGGGAGTATTGCCGATTACATACGTGATTTTACCGCTTTACTCTTAGAGCTAGGTGATGTTTCTGACCAAGATGCTTTATTTCACTTCAAAGATGGTCTTAAAGATTTTGCTAGGTTGGAAGTGAATCGCCGGGAAGCTCAAACCTTGAACGCGGCCATTGCTATTGTGGAGGGTCTCATGGATTACTCCGCAAACCGGCCAAATCAACCCACACGATCAAAGGATGGGAACAAAGCACGCTCTCATCAAAGGAATCAAGGACAACCTCGGACCGATAGGCCCAACTCCGGAAACAGCAGCGGACAAATGAAGAAGATGAATGTCGTAGCTAAGCAAACCGACAAGGACAAGGAAAAAGGCAATGGCAAGGTTTCCGAAGACGAGGAACTAGCCATTGTCGGGTCTCTACATCGGTTCAACACCTTGTCCAAGAAGGCAACACCGGGAACTAGCAAGAACAAGGAACCAATGACCAAAGGACTCCTATACGCGGACGTCGAAATCTATGGTAAACTCGTTCCCGCTATGTTTGATACCGGTGCCTCACATAACTTTATGGATGTAGGTGAGGCGAGTTGATTGAAGGTTAAGGTGGATAAGAACGGGAGAACGGTTAAAAGCGGTTAACTCTCCGGCTCAATCCGCTTCCGGCATTGCTCGCGATGTTCGGATCTGGATTGGTGATTGGATAGGGAAGACCGACTTTACTATCCTTCCCATGGATGACTTTCGGATTGTGTTAGGACTTACGTTCTTCCGCTCCGTAAGTACCTTCCTTCCCGCAACCGCCACCGCAATGGTCATTGTCGATCACGACAAACCTACTGTGGTGCCTCTTCGATCCGCTCCATCCACAGCCACTCCCACACTCACAGCCATGCAATTCAAGCGTGGAGTGAAGAACTCGGACTGTTTCCTTGCAACAGTCTGTGAGCTCAACAACTCGGACGAGACGGACACTCCGGATCAACCCCCGATTCCGGCCAAAGTACGTGACGTTCTTAACGAGTTTATTGATGTGATGCCAGAGGAGCTCCCCAAGAAGCTCCCTCCAAGGCGTGGAATCGATCACGCCATCGAACTTGTCCCCGGAGCAAAGCCACCGGCGATGACCCCTTACCGGATGGCGCCACCCGAGTTAGCCGAGCTCAAGAGACAACTCGAAGACCTCCTAGACGTCGGGTACATTCAGCCCTCCAAGGCGCCCTATGGAGCTCCCGTTCTCTTCCAAAAGAAGAAAGACGGGTCCCTTCGGATATGCATAGACTATCGTGCACTTAACAAGGTAACGGTTAAAAACAAGTATCCCATTCCCTTGATTGCTGACCTCTTTGATCAGCTTAAGGACGCAAGGATCTTCTCAAAACTTGACTTGAGGTCGGGTTATTACCAAGTGCGCATTGCCGAAGGAGACGAGCCAAAGACCGCTTGCATAACAAGGTATGGGTCGTTCGAATTCAAGGTAATGCCATTCGGTCTCACGAATGCACCGGCAACCTTTTGCACTATGATGAACCAGATTTTTCATGATCTCCTTGACAAGTTCGTTGTAGTGTACTTGGACGATATTGTTGTGTATAGTTCGTGTTTGAGTGAGCATGTAGGTCATCTTCGAACCGTGTTGAAGATCCTCCGAGACAACGAGCTGTATATCAAACTCGAAAAGTGCTGCTTTGCACAACCCGAGGTCGAGTTCTTGGGCCACTACGTCAAAGACGGACAGTTGCTCATGGACCCGAAGAAATTCAAGGCAATTGCCGAGTGGACCGTGCCAAGGACCTTGCCACAACTTCGGTCCTTTTTCGGTCTAGTCAACTACTACCGGAGGTTCATCCTCGGATACTCCTCCATAGCAGCCCCTCTCTCGGATATGCTCAAGAAGGACCGCAAGTGGAAGTGGTTCGACCAATGCCAAATGGCATTCGACAAGCTCCGGACCATAGTATCCGAGGAGCCCATCATGGCCTTACCCGACATAGGTAAGTCTTTTGAGGTACATTCCGATGCTTCCGATTTTGCAATTGGTGGAGTTTTGATGAAGGAAGGTCACCCCATAGCATACGAAAGCCGGAAACTCAATGATGCGGAGAAAAGGTACATGGTCCAAGAGAAGGAAATGACTGCCATTGTTCATTGTCTTCGGACATGGCGTCATTACCTCCTCGGATCAACCTTTGTGATCAAGACGGACAATGTGGCGACTAGCTATTTCCAAACACAGAAAAAGCTAAGTCCCAAGAAGGCTCGGTGGCAAGACTTTCTAGCCGAGTTCGATTACAAGATGGAGTATAAGCCGGGTAAAGCGAACGTCGTGGCCGACGCCCTCTCTCGTAAACCCGAATTTGCTTCACTAACGGGGAGTGTGCCTAGAACCGATTTCACCGATCGGATTCGACAGGCCATGTCCCAAGACCCCGCGGCTAAACATCTTTTAGATCTTGTTCGAAACCATCAAACTCGAAAATTTTGGGAAAGAGATGGGGTCGTTTTCTCTCGTGGACGCAGGTTATATGTGCCTAAGGACGAAGCCCTTCGGAGAGCAATCCTCAAGGAGTCACACGACTCCAATTGGGCAGGACATCCCGGAGAGAAACGCACGTTAGCTCTCTTGACCGAGAACTACTATTGGCCAAAGATGAAAGACGATGTTGAGGCATACGTCGAGACATGTCTTGTTTGCCAACAAGACAAGGTGGAACAAAGGCTGCTCGCGGGATTGCTCAAGCCTCTCCCCATAGCCGACCACCCATGGCAATCGGTATCAATGGATTTTATTGTCAAATTGCCTAAAGCTAACGGTTATGGTTCGATTTTTGTGATCGTAGATAGGTTTAGCAAGTATGCGACCTTCATTCCCGTCACCGCGGAATGCCCCGCTCATGAGGCTGCCCAAGCCTTCTTCAAACACGTTGTGAAGTATTGGGGACTACCTCGATCCATTATATCCGACCGAGATGGAAGGTTCACAAGCAAATTTTGGTAAGAGCTATTCAAGCTCATGGGAACCGAGTTAAGGTTCTCCACCGCCTTCCATCCTCAAACCGACGGCCAAACCGAGAGGATCAATGCCCTCTTGGAACTCTACTTGAGGCACTATGTGAGTGCTCACCAAAAGGATTGGGACAAACACATCGACATGGCCCAATTCTCCCATAATCTTCAAAGGAGCGAGTCTATCGGCAAGTCACCCTTCGAAGTAGTCATGGGACGCCAACCCACCACTCCCAGTGGCCTCTCCATCTCATATGACGGACCAAGTCCCGCAGCACACACCTTTGCTCGGGAATGGCAAGAAGAAACCGATCAAACGTGGCTTTGGTTGCACAAAGCCGCCTTACGCATGAAGAAATGGGCGGACACAAAACGTCACCCAATGGAGTACAAAATAGGAGATGAAGTCATGGTCAAAGTCCTTCCCCACAACTTCCGAGGGATGAAGATGCTTCATCGAGGACTCTCAAAACGATATGACGGGCCATATCCTATCATTGCACGTGTTGGGAAGATGGCTTACAAACTCCAACTCCCGGACCGAATCAAGATCCATCCCGTATTCCATGTAAGTGTTCTCAAACCATATAAGGCTGACCCCGTTGATGATGCAAGGAATAGGTCAACAAGAGCACCGGTTCCAGCCAATGTCCAATTCACCAAGGAGGCCGAACTCATCTTGGACCGACGCCCAATCGCAAGAAGGGGACCAACACACCGAGAATACTACATCGAGTGGAAGGGATTACCGGACTCTCAAAACACTTGGGAGGCCGAGATGGACTGTTGGCAATTCGCGGACAAGCTTTGCGAATTCGACGCCCAACACCCCTAGACTTCGGCTAGCTTGTACGTGACGAGGATGCCACGAGTTCAAGTGGGGGAGCGTGTGAGGAAAAATGGGTAATTTTTCACTTTTCCTTGTCCATTTTCTCTTTTTCGGGTCATATGTACGTGCAGGTACAGTCATGGACGGACCAGACCGAGAAAATGCGGACATGTCCGAGAAAACTGCAAGCCTGTCCGAGATTCTGCGCACATGTCCGAGAAAAGCGCGCCCTGTCCGAGAAATCACGCACGCGTCCGACACCAGTACACGCACCTGTCCGAGAATTCACGCACGTGTTCGGACCAACCACCGAGAAACTCGGACCAACAAGTTTCTCGGCACAGACCAGGAGACATGGACGGACGGGAAGGACCAAGGGACCGAGAAACACAGACGTCCGAGAAACACGGACGTCCGAAAATCTCGGACGCCCGAGAAACCCGCTCTGCCCGCAAAACCTCAACACGGGACACGACGGGCCACAGACCTCGGACCAGCCTCGGACCACCAGGCCCAGCTTCCCACACCTCTCTAGCTCAGCTCCAAGTCACGTGCAAGCCCAGGCCACATCGGACGAAGCCCATGACCAAGAATGGCCGAAATCCATGGTCTTGGTCCATGACAAGTTCATGGGCGAGCTCAATGGATTTCCTCATGGCCACTTCTTGGCCCAAGGGTCCTGTCCGCCTCCTTAGTTGACTAGGTCTAGATTTAGCTTAGTTTGAATTTAAATTTGAATTTTGAATTTGAATTTGAATGAGGATCTTGAGGAGGGAATCATGGGAACCAATGTTGATTGCCTAAGAGGGTCTCGGCCTTAATAAAAAGACCTCGCTTGCCCCTTAGAGCAATCAGATCGGAAACCCCCACATTCTCATCTTCTTGCATTCTCCTTCTCTCTTTTGCGTCGCCGGCTCGTTCCTTGGATGTTCCTCGGTGGTCTTTCAAACTCCGATCTCGCCCCCTCTTTGTACCGAGCTGCCGTCGATCTTGTATACCTCTTTTTGATCATTAATAAACTAAGCCATACCGTCGGCCTTCCCCTCTTTGGTTCTCTCGGATCTCTCTTCCCTCTCCTCCTTTCTTTCTCAGTTCTATACCAATTGTTAGGCTTAATCGCTCCTTGTTGGATTCCCATACGTCCCACTTGGTCGATTGCCGCACGGATTGAGTATCCTCATACTCAAGCCCGTGGCACAAAACTGTGTAAGAAAATGAAAGAAATATAACAGATTTTTTTACCCAAAAAAAAACTGTAAATGCAAGTAACCAAATACTCTCAAACAACAAACGGATATATAGAAGAATATAACTCTACAAAATGCTCTTGTTGGAGTTGTAACAATTGGTCTCTCTCTCTCTCTCTATATATAATATAATATTGACATTGAATAATATAATATATATTTATATATATTATTTTCTTCCTGTTATTTTTTTCTTGTTAATTTGGATAGTATATATATATATATATATATATATAATGACAAAACTTGGATTCATGTTTCAGTGACTGTCTCCTCTTCTTTTGCGGAGTGTTAGATTGGTTTGCCTCTCATCTGTCTTGCAGTTTTGCCTTCTTCTTCATCTTCTTCTTCTTACAAAAGCCGGAAAATTTAAGTTTGGCCAAAAGGGTAAGGAGAATAGGCTTCAGCCATTGTCTTCATCCTTCTCCTTCAGTGGGGTGCCTGTAAGAATGTCTACTGTCTCCTCATCTACCTTTTCCTCTCTTCCATCAAGATCAATGTATTTCACTACACCCTCTTCTTTGCTCGGTTCTTCCTCCATTGGATCGTCTTCTGCCTCCCTATGACTGATAACCCGAAGAAAATCGGACGGTGTTGCTGCAGGATCGAGCTGTATACAGCCTTTGGGAGCAGCCGGTGCTTCCCGACCCGTAAGCAAGATTGAAGGGATCCGATGAGAAAATCGGGAAATTTCCTCCCTCGGGATCGTCCTAACTTCTCGGGAATCCAAGTGATGGTGAAAAACAGCCTTGAAACCAGCAACTTTCACCAAGGGAACAACTGATACACCACCATATTCTTCGGTATAACCCTCGAGCACTTCAACTATGTCATACATGATCGTTTCACCTCCTGCGAGATAGTTCCAGTCCGGGGACCAATTCCTGTACAGAGCCCAGACGTCGCCTTTCCTGGGATAGATCCGGAACTGCCCATCATCGCCTTTCGTCCATTTAACTTTGTGCGAGAAAAGGTAAGGTGATCTGCAGATTCCAGGCTTTCCAGCTCTAAACTCTCCACATGTTTTAGAAATACCAGAACCGAGCCACTTTAACGAGCTCAATTCGCCTTTTGTTTCCCAAGCAAGCCAGCTAATACGCAACTTGAACGGATCTAAGGAGAAAACATTGTGTATCACGGCATAGGATCGGGGCATTCCATCAAAAGAATCATAAGCAGCCCATATCTGGTTATCACTAAACGACATTTCGGTCCGATCCTTGTCAAAGTCGCAAAAATCTGGATCAGGAACATCAACCATTAATGCTTCCGAGAACTTCGAATCCTTCTCGACACCGCTAGTGCAGTGAATTGAGTCCACAAGGCCTGATTCACTGACTCCATTGCTTCGTTCACATGCATTTCCGCTTTCTGAAGAATTCTCAATCCGCCCATTGTTTTCCTCACCATCGATCTTCCTCCTTTTTGCAGCTGTTCCACTGTCATTGCCTCTATGTGTTTCTTGAAGCTGTCTGCAGATTTCTTGCATAGCTTTCCTCTTGAATAAACTCTGCAGCTCTTGCTCGGTATATTCTTTTGCACTGTCTGATTTCGTAGCAACTCCTGCACTGGTAATACCACTGGCGCCTGTGTTTTCCAGACCCCTTCTTCTTTTCGGAGCACTTGTGGTTGATGAACCACCGCCCACTCTTTTCGTATATTTTCTACGGACACCCTCGTCTCTACGTGGTCCGGTCTGTCCAGCTGCATTTTGCGTTCCGGAATACACACCCCACTGATAATTGGCATGGCCATATGAATCATAATCACCATACACCCCATTGTCTCTGACAGAGGCATTTTTCTTTCTGCCAGTTGCTTGATGGATAGAGTTGAACTGATGCTCATGAAAGCTCTTACGGATCGAACCTGAACCGGGAGGAGCTGTCTCTACAGCTATAAATGGATTGCGACAGTTCGGACAGAGGAGATTCTGATTGAGGTAAACACGATGATACTCATACTGGGTCCTACAGCTTCGACACACAGTCCAAAAGGTACCGTCTGCTATCTTTTCACGGGATGAAGAAGCAGCAGAGGCATCACCTGCCCGGTTGGTTCCTCTCTTCGAATTCTTCACTTTGGAAGTACTACCACTAACTTTCGTAACTTTTCGAAGGCCGTTAGTCACTGCAGGATTCGCCAATGAAGAAGTCCCTCCCAAAGTCGAAGACTTTTCATACATTCCCACGTTTCTTTTCTGATCATACTCAGCTCTCTTGGCCTTGTCAGAGAACACACCCCATGCTTGCGAAAGATACTTGAACGCTTCCTCTGCTCCCACCGACTTGTTCTTATCGGGATGAAGCATCACAGCCATTTTCCTGTACTGTTTCCTCACTGTCCCGTCATCGGCTTCCGGCTTCAGACCAAGAACACTGTAGTAATCTATCTCGCCGTTGATTATGTTCTGAGCAGACAAATGCACATCAATCGTAGCTAGCATCTGAGAAATCCCTTCGAGCTCGGGACACAGCATCTGAGCTTTCTGTGCGAATTTCCTGGCCGCTGAAACATCTTTTGCTAAAAATTTCTTCTTCGCAGCGTCTCTCGCTCTTCTAGCCTCCTCTCTGTTGCATTCCATTCGAGCCACCTACTTTATCCTCTCTTCCTCTTCAAGATACCGATGCAGGAAAACACAACTGAGTATCAAATCCCTCGTACATTGACCAGATCAAAGACCCAAAACCCTAATCCGGATTAGGATTGCGAAACAACGAACCCACAGCGAAAGATAAACCCTAGAGACTAAAGCTCCGATTATAGAAATGATCAGACATCAATACCCAGCAACAGATTCGAAGAATCAAAGCCAAAATCAACTACGACTCTACAGCTTCGTGCATAATCGAAATCGAAGTTCTTTAGCCGTCAGATCAAATAGTGGAAGACCGAAACGAGGGCATTGAAGAGGGATAGAAATTGAAAAGCGGATTCGGAATCGGGTAAAAAAAAGAGGGTGAGATTTAGTTTACCTAATGGAAACTACAGCAGTTGATGTGAGGACTGAATCACCGGTTCGCCATTGATGAACCTTCCCCGAAGAAATTTTTCCCTTTTGCGTCGTTACGATTTTTTTTTTTTTTTTTTTACGGTTTTCGTCGGAGTCCCTCTGTTCCTCTGTAAATCTAAAAAAGAACCCTCCAAATCATAAATCTATATGACGACACAATTCTTCTGATGATAGAAATACATCACTTTGTTACCATTTTACCTTTTTCCATGTATCCAGTGACGTCATCTTTTTTTTTAATATTTTGTGTTAAAATAAAAAAATAAAAACGATTTATATCATAGGGGTTGGCCTTTTAACATGTACTCGGCGTTTGTTAAGCATCTTAACACATATCATTTTCGAATAAAGGATATCTAAATATTAACGACGATGAGATCGAATATTTATAAGTCGTATGGATTTAGGTATCCGCGAATATAAGATCGAGAATTTCATTAAATCCGAGTTATAAATACTCGGATTTTATGAAGTCAAAATTGAGATAATATTTTTGTAAAATCCGTGATGACGAAAACGAGATAGATTTCTAAAAATCAGGGTACGCGGCCCATGTCCATCCCTATTATATCATACAGAGTGAAATTTTCGGATTTTCGAATTTAATTTCGATTTTATTCCAATTTGATTTTTTCGATTTTAGAAATTTATAACCGTCCTAGTTTCGGATTCAATTTGATTTCGATTCGAATGATAAGTATTTGTTTTTATTATAAACAATTATAATCATTCGATTTTGGATAAAACTCCTAAAAGACCTCCAACTTGCAAAAATATATACAAATAAACTTTCAACTTGAAAACTATCATTCAATCCTCGAACTTATAACTTGTCACTAAATAAAACCTCGAACTTACAAATTATTGTTCTAATAAACCTTTAATCGGTTTGACCACAATTTCAAACGATCGGAAATCCACGTATTGACGGATTGCTGATGTCATTTTTTAAATTAAAATTGATAACGTGTATAAGGTGACATCAACAATCCGTTAATATGTGGATTTCTGATCGCCTGAAATTGTAGTCAAACCGGTCAAAGGTTTATTAGAGCAATAATTTGCAAGTTCGAAGTTTTATTCAGTGACAAGTTACAAGTTCGGGGATTGAATGATAGTTTTTCAAGTTGAAAGTTTATTTGTATATATTTTTGCAAGTTAGAAGTTTTTTAGGGTTTTACCCTTCGATTTTTATATGAGATTCGGTTTAATTGTAATTACATATTATTCGGATTGAATCGATTTGATTATTAAAATTTATAAAAAGTCTATAAATTTCTAGATTATACTAGAATAAAAAAAAATTTCTTCTAATATATAAAAAACAATCCCTTTATCATAATTCTGTGGAAGATGCGATACAAATAATTTTATATGGCCAAACCAATTTCGTGAGGGATTTTCCAATCACTCACCGTGTTTACGTATTATCTCACATCAGCCCCACAAATTAGAAAACGATCAAATTAGTCCTTTATCCTCTGGAGCCGACAGGGCCCGATTGCATGGCCCAGCACACGATCTTCCTTTCGAGGGTTTCCAATAATTACTGCCCATTATTTACCGTTTTACCAAATCACCCTAAAAGGTTATATAATGTATCATTAACCATAATCCATGAAACCTTAGAGGCTGATGAGAGCTTCATTAGGAACTTTAATGGGCTTTGACTTGATTTGGGCCTAGATGTAAAGCCCAATTACGAAGGCCCATCATGAGTAACCCTTTTCTCTATTTCTCCTCTCCTCTCCCCTTCCTCGTGGTTTTTGGCTCTCTCCTCTCTCGATCGGCACCAAACGCACGAATCGAAGAGAGAGAAAACACCAGAGAGAGCGAGAGATGGATCCAGATGCATTGGCGAAGGCGTTCGTGGAGCACTACTACTCCACCTTCGACGCGAATCGGGCGGGATTGGCGAGTCTGTACCAGGAAGGATCTATGTTGACCTTCGAAGGCCAGAAGATCCAAGGCTCTCAGAACATCGTCGCCAAGCTCACTAGCCTCCCCTTTCAGCAGTGCAAGCACAACATCACCACCGTCGATTGCCAGCCCTCTGGTCCTGCCGGTGGCATGCTTGTCTTCGTCTCCGGCAATCTCCAGCTATCCGGCGAACAGCACGCCCTTAAGTTCAGCCAGGTTTTTCCTCCTCCGATCTCTCTCGGTTCTGTTTGCTTCGATTTCCTCATCCTGTGATTGTTCTGTTAGATCGTGTTCGGTAGGGTTTTAGGGATTCTGGTGATCTATGGGTTGATCTGCGGTTAGGTTGAGATCGAGGCGTCTGAAATCGATTGGCGTTTCTATTCTGTTGCGTTTGGTGGTAGATCCGTTTGTGAGGTGAATGTGGAGGGGTTTTTCGATCCCAGACCGTGGCTTTAGCCATTGGAATCATTGTCGTGACTTTTTACTAGCTGATAACGCTTGTCTCGTAAACGGTTTCTTCCTACTTGTGTGAATTTAGCATGGAATCGTTTCTCAAACTGGATTCACCCTGCTGATAATGGATGAATTCAGCATTCTTGTGGATTATCTCTATTATCTGTGGATCATGCTTTTATGTGTTTGCACATGAGAAGTTTGCGGGCTTACTCAGGGATTTGCGTCATTTGCTTCTTAATCATTAAGAGACTTCTGATCCTCCAGTCCAGTCTTGACAAACATATGTATTTCATACAGCTGCTTCCGCACAACTCTTACCTTTGTCACTGTTGTCTGAACTTGACCACTGATCCATAATGTTGCTAGTCAATGCATCTCCAGTGTTAGGACCGACTCCTCAGGCTGTGATGGCTTTACTTGTTACTGAATTTTCCATTCACGAGTTCCTCGAAACAAGAAATGCAAGTTCTTTTTGTGTCTAGCATTGTTGGTATATGATCTCCTAATGCGGGTTACCATTTTTGATGCCCAGATGTTCCATTTGATGCCGACGCCACAGGGAAGCTTCTACGTGTTCAACGACATATTCAGGTTGAACTATGCCTGATGAGAAGAAGAAGCGCGCACACACACAGTTGCTGGCTTGGTGGGTATATATATATACACATATATATTCCCTCAACAAGTCGAAGGATTGGTATTTATAATATGACCTGATCGGTTTCAGTCTTTTGGATTTGGAAACTAAACTGTTTACTACTCTCTCTCTTTTCAATTGGGTCTGTCACATTATTGCGTTCCAAGAAGAAAAAAAACGGGACGAATCCGTGTCTTATGAGATTATTATATGCTCGGCTGAGTTGCTGAATTCGCGAGTGATTTCATATACTATAGTTTTGAAAATAAGCTATTATTGAACTTTATACTTTGACTGGAGATTGGAAGACAGATTGGCACTTTTTGCTTCTTGGAACATTATTACCCTTGTGATTAATAGTAATTTCCCCACAGCCCAAATGAGAAAAAAGTTTATTTTAGGGCAATGTTTCAGGGCATTTTATTTTTATATAATAAAGATGGGCACTTTACAGAATTTACAATTTAAAAGCTTTTGGTGTAACCATTTATCTCTGAATCTATTAATCACTTTGGAAACCCCATAATTTACATACTATACCCCCAAAAAAAAGCCCTTTTCTGATATTTGCTCTCTCAAGGTAACATGAACAAATCCTCTTTTAACATGTCAGATATATCAAACAATTCATCATCACCATCCCCAGATGCTGATGCTGCTATCTCACTGGTTCCAAGCTCAGCCTGCAAGAAGCCATTGATGAGAACCCACAATCCATGAGAACAAGACAACTGAAAGAAACAGAAAACAGACCAAAGAATTCCACTTTTCTACATCGGCAATCCTGTCTTGTCTTTGTGCTCCTTTGGCATTCCACTGTTTTACACCTACCCTTTTGTAAAACTTCTTACTTTAGATCATTACTGTCATCTTAGGGAATTCGGTTCCTCCTATCTGCCTGTCCTTAACTGGACATGTTATCTATCCAAGTCTTTTCAATAAGCTTTGTCTTAAGAAAACAGATTTTGGTTCAGGGATTTTAAAACTTGACCCGGTTTACCTTGGCTTGGTAGTATCTCTCGAGCATGCGTCGGTATTGCTGCTGGGCGTCTGGAGACTTCACCATGGACAGAACGCGAGAGAAAGCCTTGTTTACAGTCTCGTCGACTTTCTGCTTCCGGAACACCTTGAGTATGTCTTCTTCAACATCACTCTCGTCCGTGGATTCTGCATCTTGTCTGAATCCTCTTAGCCCGGCGCCTTTCCTTCTCCACCTCAGTACAACCTTATCTAGAATTCCTACTGCCCAACATATCACCTTGTACTGCTTCCTCACCTGATAACCTCTCACATGAGCCTGCCCGAGAAAAAAAAGAAGATTTTTTTTCAAGGAAAGGAAGATTAGAAATCGGTGATTGTAATACACAGCAGCTCGGGAAATTTGTCTTGCAGATGTTGATTTGATGTACCTGTATCTTCACAACTTTGTGGCGAAGTGCTAGAAAATCTTTACGCCCTTTCCAGCCTCGATATTTCTTCTGAATTGATAAAGCAGCCGAATTGTAATCCCGAGCATTTCCAAAGGCTAACTTTGACATAGCCGAGAGCCCTTGGAGATCTCCAGAATGGATCCCGAACTCTTGTAAACACGCAGCCATAGCTGCTTCCCTCTGCTGTCTCTTTCTGAAGGAATGTGCACGAAAAGCAGCTTGTATTCGTGCGGCTGCTTGAGCAGAATTTCTCACAGCAGCCAGTGTGTCTTTTAGCGAAAGCTGATCCTCGCTACTGGGATTCGGGATGGAACTCACAGTTATTTCCGCTTGCACTTCAGCAGTGCCTTTGGAAATCTCGGTTTCTTCAAGTGTGAGAGATGAGAGATGGTTTGTCAGTGCCACCTCTGATAGATAACCTGCAAGACCCTTGTGACCGTTCGAAGCAGCTATAGAAGCTGCAGTCTTTCCGATTGGGTCTTGTGAACTGGGATCAGTCAATGCTCCCGGTGATGCCCCTGAAGCTATAAGGGCAGCCACCATTTTCTCCCTGAAACATCAAAGCAAGTGTTACCAATAATAGCTTTACCAAACGGCGACAGATACATTTGGAAAACAGAGACTATCATTTATGAAATATGCCGTCTTAAACTCTTTGTTGCCAATCAGCAAATTAAGAAGAATCTTCTACTCATAGAAACGACTAAGAAATCACAAATTCATATTGTCATAAAACAGAGAAATGTATGCTACTCACCTCCCAAAGCGTGCAGCCCAATGAAGAGCACTCCACCCATTGATGTCACGGAAATCGACACCGACTCCATGACTGAGAATTGGGTTCAGTGCCCATTCAAAGCCCAGCCCTGCAACCATATGAATAATACCCTGTTCTTTCTTGGACAAATAAAGAGATCCTTCCTCTTCTCTTTGAGATCTGGAAGATAGCCATGAATGCAGCTTGTCTCTAATCAGTTCCTGTAAGAGCCGTTCAACTGTGCTCGGTGATGTAGCATTGCCATCTAGGATGGCTTCTATGACATGGCTCCATTTATCAGTGTCGGGCTCTAGGTTATTTGTTTTGTCTGATTGTGTATCCGGTAGAAGCATTTGTACAAACCTTACGAGTAATAACTGCTCATCTGGATTTATTGTTGTGCTAGATGTCTGTGGAATATTGCACTTGGTGCAATATTCGCTGGCCTTATCTCGATACTCAAACTCCCTTATTTGACTACAAGAGACCCGGTTCCTGGAAGTAATGCACAAAGTGACTTTTCCCGGGGGGCAGGGAGGGGCTTCACACCGAATAACGCCTTCCTTAATGATCTGAAGAGGAACCTCAGTACTCCCGAACATGCATGACCAAGTTGATTCTGTTGGATCACAGAGAAATGATCCGACGATTATGACCTGCAAGGTCAAACGGTGTCACCATAGAATGACTTGAATTCATCAGGACACAAATTGACAGTAAGAAGCAATACAATGTTGTTGGAGAATATCGGTTACTAGATTAGATTTATGCAAAACCAAGCATCATAACTCAAGAAGAGATTGTGGGTTGTCCACTCCACCTTTGTTGTTTCATTGGCATAACCCCACTCCGGTGATATTTCCTGGATTGTAAACTTTTGCTTCTGCGCAACCGTCAGACTCACTTCCTGTTCAAGAGACATCCCGACTTGCCCTTGGTCTCCCATCATTCCATAATCATTGTTTTCATGAGCTTCTAGTGCAGAAGAATATGCAGGTACTTCGAAAGAGGCATGTCCTCGAGGGAACAAGTAAGAAGCTGAAATTTTAAGCCAGTTATCAGCAAAGGAAATCAAAAAGCATATGAAATTTGTTAACAAGCGGAATCCATACGCGGCTCAGTTTGAGTGATATAATTCCAGTCGGAATCGTCTTCTACTTCGGGCAGCAATCTTTCTGAAGAATGTGCGATTTCCTGGGTTTAGCATGAAGTAAATTCCTAGATTAGAATTTTCTAGTTCAGAGAAATTTGTTCTTTGGATGTCATCAGAGAATGGTATTATGGTAAACGAAAGGCATCCATCCTGTCACCAGAGGAAAAAATATATATAAACTGCATACATTCACGGGTTTATTGACCATGTCCCTCTGAAGGTTCATCGATCTGCATACATATACGTGCATGCATGCAATTCTGAGAAACCTGATACCAGTTTAGGAATTCCTTCTTCCTTCTGGAAACTAATCAACAGATACAGATGCTTTCAAATGTATATTTTCAACCAGGTATAGGAGAGTCACCTCGGTGTTAAGAACTAGAGAAGCATCACATGCCTCCAGCATGTCCTTCCAAGATTCAGTTTCTTCATCTCCAGATTCTTCTATACCACCTGTTGTAAGAAGAAATCCCTTTACTCTTTCCAACAGCAAAAGGATCTAATTTGCTCTTAAATTAAAATATTAAGGAGATAAATTGGAAGAGGGAAGTGCAATGAGACTTCAATGATTTGTTTAAGCTTACTCTAGACGAATGAGACAACTTACTGCTAGTACAGAATCAGGTATGTTAAGGAAGTACAAAGGGTAAACGGATAAGCGTAAAAAAAAAAGTTTTATGAATTAGACGGCATACCTGAATCATTCTTAACGAGCATGAGATTGTTAGAATGGTCTTGGTTTCCGACATAACCCCCATAACATCTCTCTAGTTTGTTGCTCTCAGGTTGGTAAGGTACAGTTGTTGTTTGAGCAGAGACAGGGATCTCCCCCCTACACTCCAGAAATCCTAGATTATCTATGTTTTCATTCTGACAAAAAAGCGGATCTACACTGTCAACATTATCATCTCCCAGACTCAGTTGTTCCTCGAGCCTTCTCAAGGCCTGCCTGACTTCAAATTCAGAAGAGCTTGTACTGTCTGCTGGGGTTGGAACTTGATTACTCTTCAACACAGTTTCTGAACTAACCTCTGCAGAGCCTGGACTGGATGAATGCTGGCGAAATTCAGCAGAATCACTGACGTAATGGTTATGGGTAGTATTCTGAGTGCCGGTGGAGCTCGGACTTGAGAAGAAAGAGGAAGAATTCAGTGAGAAGTGCAAAATCTGTCCACTGCTTTGTTTTCCCTGCAAAGGCAAGACGGCCATGATCTCAGACAATGCACAATACTTCTTTGGCTAACTCAGCAGATAAACATTACGCACCGGGTTAAAATTTCCATTTACGTTACAAAAGCCACTCACCTCCTTTCCCTCGCTTACATCTCTATAGTGTACGAGAACAATATGCTCATAAGCCCTGACAAGCCAAACAGGAAAAGGCTTTATGTCAGCACCGAAAGAGTAGCAGATAAAAGCATCAAATAGTGAGGGACCAACATGGAAAGACAGCCACAGACCACATTGAAGAACAGTCCAAGGCATGATGTAATCAGAAAACACAGATTAACAAATCCTGGGCATATAATCAGAGCATGCAAGTACTGCTAATTACTTACGGATCTAGCATCCAATAGCTACGCCTTTGAAAACTGGGGTTGAGCTCTCCATGTGCATAATAACAATTCAAAGCCTCAGCATTTCCCACCTGTTCACAAACGTAAAAGATCATTTAGCACATAAAAGGTAGAAGAAAGTTGAATTCAAGAAGAGATGCAAAGCAAAGTGCTATGTGCAGAAAGATTTTTAAGGTGTAAGACAGTTCCTACAACTGAAACGCTTCAAACTCTGTCACTACATTATGTTCCAAATACGAAGTACAACAAAATCCACAGATTTGAGTTGACTTTGCCACTAGCAAACTAACATCCAGGATGCAGACAAAACCGTGCAAATACGAGATGGATAGAAGAAACCAAAAAAGAGGTCAATTTGCAACGTTATGTTAAACCAATATTTTCACACCTTAAGTCGTTCATGTGCTTCTGCAACAGCTCTCCCGTCCTTCTTTCTCCGCCATTGATGACCATCTTTGCGGAAAAACTTAAGAACCCTCTTATTGAAAAGAAACAAAGAACCACCTGTACAGGGTTTGAGAAAGCATATCAATTTTCCAAACATCAACCGACAGTCAATAAGAACCCATTTGCCTGAACGAGTTACAAAACTGTTTTGACTCACTGGTTGGCTTTTGAGGAGCCTTAGGTGTTAGCTGATATCGTTCATGACTCTGCAGTATGAAGAGCACCTCCGCCGGCTTCAACCATCGGGTCTGAGCTTCTTGGTAGAGATTATTAACATCGTATCCTAACATCAAAGCCAAGATTAGTCACAACCTCGAGAGCAAGACAGAACATAAACCCATGGAAACTTTCTGTCTAAATTCACGCGGAAATCGGATGTTAGAAGCAACAGTATCACGAACCAACACAGCAATGCACGACAAACGGGTTGCTGGAAGAGGAACAAAACAGAAAATTCGAGGGAGAAAAAAAAAAGACGAAACAGAGCGAGGAATTGAAGAAAAACCCAAGATCATACCCTGAACAGGGCCACCATGTTTGTGCCTTGGCTACAAATGTTCGTTGAGAAACTCACCAGATTGCTGCATAGCGTCGGGAATTTTCCAGTGACGGAACCGCACGAAAGCGAATTAGACTCTACTGGGTCCACAAGGGCATGAGATGAAACCAGTTATCCGGTTGCTTCCCACCGGATGGACGGCGGAAAACGATTTCGGCGGCGGAGATAGTCGGCGGAGGACGCCGGAATGCTGAGGAGTCCTGGATCGAGATCGGAATCAGAGACTTGAAGAGTATAAGAACAGAGCGAAGACGAAACAGAGGAGATTGAAGACGGAGAAGAAGAAGAAGATGATGATGATGATGAAGAGGAAAATGAAAATTTGACTTGAAATTCAGCAGCTTCTATGGAGTGGCGAGCAGAGCCTTTTTGGAGAGAACCGCGAAGGTGGACGCAGAGGGGGAGGGATCTGCTACAGCGAATTCTACGACACGGAAGAATCTTATTGTCGGATATGGTGAAATGAATTTAGGCGTAGGATCGAAAAGACGAAAATAGCCCTTACGACGACTACATACGCTAATTCCTTCATGGACAAGATTTACGACTTTGCCCTTTAGTTGTGATCACGTCACGACATTTAGTGCACTTCAGAGCCATTCAACAGTTCGCGCTAGGTATAACATATAAACTATTAATTTTTTTTTTATCAAGTTTAAAATTTTCACAAAAGAAATATAAATTTTTTTCGTTATAATGAAAAAATTATCGAATTTTTAAATTTCAATACTTAATTTAAAAAAAAATCACGAATTTCAACATTTCGTATGCGAGTTTTATTTTCTTTAAAAAAAAATACATGGGAAATAACAATGTTATTATCTTCTACATCAAATCTATAAAGTTAGACATTTTGTCAGGGAATAATGCATCATACTTGCAATATTGTCGTTTATTTATTTATTTATTTTTCTCAAAGGCACGTGGGAAATTGAATTTAAATCTTCTAGGTTTGAAGTCAAGCACCCGAGGCCGTAGTGTGGGCCCCGGAATTATTGAGTTGGACGACGGTCGAGAATAAAATGCAAAAATCCTATAATGGAAAAAGACTAGGGTGTATATATATATATATATGACAAATCATTTTGCTTTTATATTTAATCATTTTACTTTTAGCTTTTATATTATTAATTATGCAGTCCATTTTAGGATTTTACACCTGCTACATTCCAATAATACTAGGATTATGTACCAAATATGTAACAATGAGTAAATTGGATCAATCCAAGGTGATATCATTACATAAAAAAGTATATTATATACTCAATTAAAACCCTTTTCGAGATTTTGTAATAAATATCTCGCAAAAATGATATTTTTTTTATATCACACGTTTTTAAATCTGAATCGTCAAATCCTTTGGTTTCCATGACAAATACACATAGCATTGAATTGATTAAAAAAAATCACGTGTATGAAATGAGATATTATTGGTCCGATGATATATATAGGCTTGGACTGTAATCCGTTTTGGGTTCGAAACGATAGTGCTCCATTTTTTATCATCTCAACTCAAAGTCAAATAAAAAATAAAAAAATATTTAAAAAATAATAATAAAATAGAGAAAAAAATATTTAGGAACGAGTGAACTCGGTGTAATACAAAAGCCAATGTTGAGCCACCAACTCGGTGTTATGGTGTAGTTGTGAGAGATTGACTTGGACCGACGCATCTCACAATCTAAACAATTCCAATAAATTTGTTTTTATGTATTATAATAAATTAACCTGCAATTTCAGACCCATTTTTGGGTTTGACATTTCCAATGTTCACACCTATAATTAATAATACTCGAAATTATCCTATGATTATGATCTATCTTCAAAAATCATTTCATAATTAGGTGTTTTGTTTGCTCGGTCATCTAAAGTCGCAACCTTTAACAATAAAGCTTACATTTTTAGTAAAAAACCATCGCATATAGAATCGAAAACCTCGTGAAAAAAGATAGAGGAAGAAACTTTGCCAATACGTAGAGAACCGCATCGAACAATATACATATATATATATATATAAAGATCATCAACCTTCAAAAAAACCACAACCCAAATCCAGAAAACCATATTTTCACAAAAATATAAAAGAATATATATATATACATATATATAATATATAGATAAGAATGTTGGGGGCAGTGTTAGTGGCGGTGATATTGTTCGTGTTGATGACGCCGGAGCTGCTGTTTCAGCTGCCGGGACGACATAGATGCGTCGAGTTCGGTAATTTTCAGACAAGTCCGGTCGCGGTTGTCGTTCACGCTCTTCTCTACTTTGCTTTCATCTGCATCTTCCTCCTCGCCATCATCAAGATCCATATCTACATTGCTTAAATACACACACACACATATATATATATATATATTATATACCGAAAAAACTATATATATATACACACACATAAATATATATATATATATATATATCTATCTATCTATCTACAACATTTTCTTCCTTTTCGAACAAGAAAGAATCGTTCTCTTTTCGGGTTTATTTTTCTGTTTAATCTTTGATGAATGACGTGAACAAATGTAATTTCGGGTCGAATCTTTTTTTTTTTATAACGGAAGATCTTTATCTGCTACTCTTTGGACGTGCTGACTAAGTAAACCTCCGATGCGGAAGCAGTATTTGTATATAGATCATATAAACCCAGAAATTACCTCCCTTCTCATCCGCCAGGAGAATCGAACACTCCCTTCCCACCCGGCGAATCGAATACCCAATCTAAAGATGAAGTTAACTCTTACCCCAAACTTGACTATTCCCCACAATTTGGGTCGAATCCTTTTTGCTTCTTTCTACTCCCCACAATCTGGGTCGAATCCTTTTTGCTTATTTCTATTAGTTCCACTGCAATGATATGCTTGGAAAAAAGTTTAAATTCACTCTTAAAACGAATGACAGAAGGATACAAATTTCATTTTTAATTACCGGAGGATACTCATCAAATATTCTTAAAAGCGCCAGATGTTTTGAACACCAAAAACGCGTTCGCAGTCGCAACCCCGGTGTCCGAGGCGTGGAGCACACGCGCAGACGAAGCGAGTGAGGGCTTAGCCGAGGACCCATCAAATTAGGGTGGAGACACAAGTTCCCGTCCATCTCACAACTTTTAACAATTTTAGGGCAAAGTTTTTCTTAGAACTAAAAATACATTACTTCTTTAACTTCCATAAATAATTTTTACAAGCACCATAAAAATAAAAATCACAAATCAGAGGGATTTTTGTTGTATAATTCTACTTCAAACAAAGACAAAAAAAAAACTCCAAAATATCCACATTGATTCAGTAAATAAGGCTCCCTCTTTCTTCAACACCCTATTTGCCATTCTCCCGCTTCATCACAAAAGCTTCCATTCTGGAAAATGTGGAAACCACTTTAGTGATCATATAGATTCTCTTCTGTCATCTCTTTCATTGCAAATATATATATATATACACACGCTAGGGTTTAGATTGTTGGCCTTCATTATGATGATATATATAAGAATATATGATCATAAACCCATGGATTTATATGGCATATGAAAGTTTTCCAGTTTCTCAAGGTTTGCGCCTATGGAGAAAACCTAGAAACTACCATTTAAGAGATTCTCGAATGGATGATCCTAATGGATGAATCTTTATTCAGACAACAATACAAGGACACGGATCGAAGATGAAAGTACAGTCCTTGATTTTCTGGATAAGGAATCCGGAGAACCCAAAGAACAAGATCAAATCTTCTCAGCTGAGACAGAGCAAGATCACCAAAACAGAGCCATGTCTTGAAAAACCCTAAAATTTTGGTTTCGTGTTATTGCAAGAACCCAAAACAGAGTAATTGAATTTCAGAAAACCCGTGATAGCTTATGGAATCTATTGCCGGAAAATCGTAATTCATCGGAACAAAAACTGGATCCGGAGACGATCATTCATCTTCTATGCTTCGATTGCACGTAATTAAGCGTAAACAAGGGAGATTAGTTAAGTAATTACCAGGAATCTCCTTGCCGGAGGAGGAAGGAGGTGCCAAGACGTAACAGAGGATGGACCTTCCGACCATGGAAATGGCGGACACGATCCCGGCGAGATAGAAGACCATGAGCAAACCCAGAACCCAAGGCATCAACAGGAACCCCAGGAAGAAAGTCACGGATCCACAGAGCATCAGAGCCACAGATATGCCCAGAAGCAGCGACGCGAAGCCCGTCGGAGAAATCTGGGCCACCGCCGAAGATGACAACGAAGACCGAGGCGGTGGAGGACGTCTCACCGGCGAACTTGAATTCTCCGGTAAGTGATCGGGAAACGGTATGGGCATCGGTGGTGACCGGAGGAGACTCAGGACAAGAGCCGATAGCTCGTAGAAAACCCTAGATTGCTGATCTCGCTGCTGCTGCTGCCTTCTCATCATCTTTTTACTTTTTCCTTTCCAGAGTATCTCAGAAATCTATGGAAAATTTTCCTCAGAGGATAATCCAGGAAAGGAAAAATCTTTATATATATGTTGAGATCTTAAGCTTAAGCGTCGCGAAAATCGAGGCAAATGGATAAACTTGGGCGACTACGACTCGTCTACGTTTATCCAAAGCCGCCGATTGATTGGAGGACCGATTTAATCTTTCCTTTGCCAACAGGGGAAAGTCGCGACACTGCAAAATGTCAGATAGTTTCTCGGGAAAATTTCAAAAAAACGGTGACTGGATTTCGATCAATATAGAGAGAGTCATCAAAGGAAAGAGATGGAGAAAATGTTCGAGCCCGAGAGTCATCAAAGGAAAGAGATGGAGAAAACAAACCCTTTTTCTCCCTTTTTTCCTTTATCTTTTCCTTTTCCGGTGTTTGGATAACGAGAAAACGCCAGAAAAGGAAAACCCAGAAAGGAAAAAAAAGCTGGGATCTTGCGATGAGAGAGAGCCTCCTTTGGATGACGAGCGACTCAAGCGTGAGATCTTGTGGATATGATAAATACTAAAGCAAAACCCGCGAGAGCGCGTGTCCTCACGCGCCATCGTGGAGACATACGTGGATCTGTGAGGGTCCGTGGGGCCCAGCTGACGCGTGACCTTATCCTCTACGCAAAAACCGTGAATTACGTGTTCTTTGTGATCTTATCTCTCCCTCCATTTATTTTTTAAGTTTCTTCCATATCTCTCCCAATACTTTGCAAAATCTTCGAATTAGACCCCAATATTTTGAAATTTCGATAAATGGTCCCATAATTTGGACCGTCGGTTTCCACCGTTAAAACTTGGTTACTAGGGTTCATGCAATTATAGGGATAACCAAAAGAAGAAAAAAAACTCAAACACACGAACGAGAACAGAAGTCATTCTGTTTGGACAGAGAGTGACTTAGCTGTTGAGATCTACCAGAAATTATCCACATTATTAATTTGTAATTGAAATTTAAAAAAATATTTGAGGTTTTAAAATGGTTGGCCAATTTGAACTATTAGTTATTTTGTTGTTGATTATATATATATGTGTATATATATATATATGCATATTGATTTTTAATAATTTTCAATATCGTTGGTAAAATCTCTATCCATCAACTAATTCTTGGGAATGCAACAAGATCATAAATGATCACTCTAAATATCTTTTTTATTAAATGCTCGTCTAATAATAATAATAATAACAACAACCAGTCTTAAAAAGGGACGAGCAGTAGGAAAAAACAACAACGGGATATTGTAATATCAAGCATTTTAAAGGGTGTTACTGTAAATTACCACTTATTTGTGGACGTAAATGTCATTAATTAACAATGAAAAAATAATGCATAGATAAGATTCCAACTTTTGAAAGCTATTGGATTTTATTTTGGAGCTTCCAATGAAATTAAACATTAATATATATATATATATATATATATATTATATAGAGAGAGAAATGGACAAGTTGATACTAATATTTATTAGTATGCTATATAATTGGATTATATAATTATTTAGTCGGAGTTTTTTTTGTGTATTTATATCTAAAAAATATGAAAAAATGTAAAAGTTAAATTATTGCGACACCAATTTTTTTTTTTTGTCTCTGTTGTTATAAATAAATATTTATGGAAATATTAATCCGAGTCAATAAAGTTTTCAGATGCTTAACTTGGAGCAAAGTCACGTTATCAATGTTTTTTTATTATTGGAATGTTTTGGTCAAAAGGAAGCAAAAGGGACTGTTGGTAGGTAGTGAGTCTCATACTCTTTAATTAATCTTTGATGTGGACATATGACCAATCCTCAATTCCACAAGTAGTACTAAATCCATCCTTCCAATTGTATAACGAATTATTATTATTATTATTATTATTATTATTATTATTATTATTATTATTATTATTATTGTTATCTTATGCCAAATTACTAGAAAATTATAAATTTATTAAAAAAAATCCGTATGCAAAACACTTTTTAAGAATTACTCCATCCGTTTAATTTTAGATGACGTTTTGACATTATGCACAAATATTAAGAAAATAAATAGTAAGTCTAAAATATCCTTATTTAATTAGTTCTGAATTAATTTTATGTAATTAATGATAGAATATTATTATCATCTTTCCCAATATATTAGCCATTTAATCTTCTCTCTACACCGAAAATACATATTTCAAAACTAAAATTATTTTTTATTTTTAATTGAATCAACGATCTCAATATTTTTTTTTCAAAAAATTCAAATCGAATTCGTATTTAACGGCAGAACTATTATTTTTGGTTGATGAAATATTATTCACAAATATAGGTCTTCTTCCTTCACTTCCATCTAGATGAACTATTAAATTTTTTGAAGTTTTTTGTTTTGTATAATGTTGTTTAGAAGAAGGATTTAAATAAGATTAAAAAAGATATTAGTTGAAAATTAATTGACAATTATTATGGTAGAAAAATAGAAAAATGTGTAAAGTATTGTTATGCCGCATAACTTATGCGCATAGAATAATTGATCATTATTAATAAAGGGTAATGTTGGAAAAAAAGTATAAAAATTATATGGAAAACAACAAAACGTTATTCATTTTAAAACAAAAAAATTAGTCTAAAACGACATCTAAAATTAAACAGAGAGAGTATGTTTTTAATACCAATAAAATAGACAGATATATAAGTCATTTTTTTATTAGAGAGGTTATATCTATTCAAATACGAAAATTAAACTGAATTGACTATATATATATAATCCTATCTAATAAAATGGTTTAAAAATAGAATTTATATTTTTCTTAAATAAAATTAATTAAATTTAAATTTAATATAAAAATAAAAAATAAAAAATGAGATTTTATTAAAAATATTTATTTATCGTAAAAACAAAATAGAACCCAATTCAAATAGTAAAAATTATAAAAACTAGACAAGTAAATGAATATAAATTTTTCTAAAACAAAAATCTAATAACATATGAATGTATTTGAATCGAAATTAATTAAATTATTTTAAACACAAATTAAGAATTCAAATGAAACATAATAAAATAACTAAAAAATTGAATAACAATGAAATTCTTTTAAAATATTTATTTTTTAAAATGAAAACCTAATCAATAACCGTTCAAATTTAAATCCATTTTTTAATCCGAATATGTATATTATTTTTTTAATTTTAAAAATAAATTTGAAAATAGTGAGAATGAAACATAACATATACAAAAAAAAAAGATAATTAGAAGCTAGTAAACATAATATATATATATGAGGGGGTACAATGGGAGCTTCTCCATAGATCCCAATTTTATGGAGCCCCACTTTCTTTTTAAAAAAAAATGTTTTGAAAATTTAATAAGATTTTTAATCAAATAAGAAAAGCTATTATAAATTTAAAAATATTAAAAGATTAAATTTTGTCAAACTCCAATAATCTTTCATATTATGTCAATTAGAATTTTTAGTTCATAATTTTTAATCATTGTATATTTTTTAAAATAGACAAATTAGTGCTAAAAGTTTTTTTTAATCAAAAGTTTCATAACAATAAACTTGATTTTAATTTGTATTATTTTTTAAACTAAAAAGTAATAATTTGTATATATATTTTTAAAAATTATTGTAATAGATAATATTTTTTATAATTTTTGTTTATTTTTTATATAATTTGAAATTCTATCTATTGATTAATATATTTAATTTTTTTTATACTAATTAGATTAAAAAAAATATAAAAAAATAACAAAAATATAAATAAACAGGACCTCTCAAATTTATGAGGCTAGTAAACATAACAATCTTTACTAATATATGCATAGATAGCATCGTATATATAACCTAGTGTTGGCGATTAAAAAAAATACAAAAGGAAAGATGAGAATATATATATATATATTACATAGGTACTTAGGTAATTAGAAGTTCATATATATATATATATATGTATATATATATATTAATTAATCTTTGAACATAACAAGTTGAACAGAATAAGAAAATAATATAACCACTAGTAAGATTCGAGTTTGAGCCTCTCAAAGACGCAAGAGATATAGCTCGAGGCCTTGACATCAACATTTTCATCTCCTCCGCACTCATACTCAGAAGCAGAAGTCACGAAATCGGCCTTAACGTTATGGTTATGGTCGTAGTATTCGTACCATCTCGTCCGGTTCGAGCCATGGCGCAGGCTGTGGTTGTTATAGCTCGAAGGTTGGTCCGTAGAGTCAAGACGATGGTTATGGTTGTGGTAGTCGTACCATCTCTTCTGGTTCGAGCCATGCAGGCTGTGGTTCGAAGGCTGGTTCCTTGGGTTAACCTTCGTGGCGGCTCGGTTCAACGATTTTGTTAACTTGTTCCTCATCTCTTTGTTTTTTGTTGTGGTATGTCTCGTGGCTTGTCTTTGGATTTTATAATGTGGGGTTGGATTTATTAGAAAAAAAATCTAGATTTATTGATTCTTGTTTCGAATTAAAAAATGATAAATTATCGATTATTAATTATTTCATTGGTTATGGGATTGTATTAAGGGATAAGGATCGCCCGATGGGCATTGGTCTCCTCCATCAATCATAAAATATCTTCCCCATTGGAAAAAGGCGAATATCTTTTAACCATCTTATTTATTATAAATATATATATATATCTATAAACTACACATTCAAAAATAGTATTTGAGGACCTAGAATTTGAATGATTTCACGAAGCTTAGATGAAAATTAAAATCCAAAATTTATATAATTTATGCGTATTTTTGTTTAATCTCGAGACATACTATTAGTAATAAAAAAAATGTATTGATATTCGCCCTCCAACGATATTAATTCTCTAATAATATAAACTTACTAAATTATTGTTCGCGACAAATCTTTTTGTCACGATGCCTAAACCCAATTTCATATTCCATATTTTGTATTACTTTAAATAATATAGGCAACTAACTCCACTAAAAATATACATATTCTATTTTTATTATTTCCATGTATTTCTGTATGGAATATTACACTAGAACGCTAGTGAAAAATTAACATTTAATATTTTTAAGGGTTATTTAACGAAGGCATGAATTTGCTACAAATTATAAATGCGAAATCATATCGTCGGAATTTCGTTTCATTTATGTATGAGACTTTAGAAAACTACCAAGATAGAAATACAGGTCCTAATTTTAAAATAAATAAATAAATTCGAGATTGAATATGTTCGCATTTTAATAAATTTAAAATACGTTATAGTTGACGTAAATGATTCAATAGTTTTCGATAAATGTGTATTAATTTAAATATGCAATGTTTAAAAACGTTAGTTTAGAGTTGAATATCGTTTAAAACACATCATAATAATAAAAATACGTTCCAATAACAATTTTTATGCACGTTAATTAATTAGGATAACATTCGTCCACTTTTTCGATTCTATTAATCATATATATTAAATATATTAAATCCGGACCTTTTTCTTAGTTCTACAAAGATTTTATTTGCTTCGGATTCCTTTTTAAGATATGGTTCATGATCATTGTTTCGAACTTGGAGAATATAATATTCCATTATATAATTTAGAAATGTCATATACTCTTTAGCACCGTATTATATTACTAAAAAAGGCTCTTACTTTTATTTTCTTGTCTATTAATTATATTCTTATTCACTTTACATGAATATATATCTCAATCATTCCACAATATCGACATTAATGACAACACTCGAAGCTTGATTATATACACTCATATGCTTTATAGTATAATCACTACAAGAAAATAGTTATATACCGACGGAAAAATCCGTCGTAAATATAAAAGAAATCCGTCGCAATTAAGAATTTGCGACGGAATGCGACGGATTTATTTCCGTCGGTATAGCGCTGTCGCAAACGTATAACGGTCGTTAATCCAAAAATCTGCGTTTTGCGACGGAAAGTGACGGATAATTCCATCGCAATTTGCGACGGATTTTTTTCCGTCGCATTCCGTCGCAAATGTTTTAAATTTTTTTTTTTTACTCTCTCTCTCTCTCTCTCTCTCTCTCTCGTATGCTTCATCCGAATCGCATGTCCTTTATATAGCGAGGTTTTATCATTTTTTTTATAATAAATATTTTATTTTATAATCATTATTATATTAGATATATTATATATATGTATATGGGTAGGTGGTTATGCGTGATTTGTTTCACGTGGGCGGCCAAACCTTCTCCTTGTTTTTTTTTAAAATTATTTATTATTAATAATTAATTAATCTATTAATTAATAAAAAAATCAGGATGTTACACATACACATTCACATATACATACACATTCACTTACACACATATATAAACACACACATACACATTCACATATATATACACATTCACTTACACACACATACACATACATAAACACACACAAACACATCAAACACACACATATATATATACATAAATACATATATATTACCTTATGGGAGAAATTTGACGATCTTTGGAGAGATTTAGAAAAAAATGGCGATTTTTATTTTTTTTCCGAAAATCTTTGAATCTGATAAAGAAGACGACTCGTGGTTTTATATTGCGTTTTGCGACGGAATTTTCCGTCGCAATCCGTCACAAAATGAAATTTATTTACGCGCCCAAAATTCAAAAAATTTCGTCGAAAACCGAAACCAAATACATTGCGACGGAATATTCTGTCGCAATCCGTCGCAATTTTTATTTTCCGTCGCAAATCATCTATTTCTTTGTTGTGACAGAATTATCCGTCGCAAACCGTAGCAAATTGCGACGGATTTTGCGACTGTTTGCGACGAATAATTTTTTTCCACGTTCTGTCGTAAAATCGTCACATTCCGTCGCAATTTCCTGTGCGACGGAAATTTCCGTCGCAAATTCCGTCGCTATATGCAGGTTTTTTTGTAGTGAATATAAGAAAAGGAATAATCATATTTTCAATCTGTCTTTGGCTTTGACACTAAGCATAAAATGGAGATAAATAATATGTAACTTTATACAAATTAGATCAGGTTTAAAACCAATTGATTATTTTAAATTCAAATTAACGAATCAAAAATTAAAATAATAGAAAATTTAAATCAAATCTAAATTGAACAAGATTTTTTTCAATAAAAATCAAACACAAATGGAACTTTATTAAAATACAAATGGATCTAAATTCAACATAAATAAGAACTATATATATATATATATATATCTGTCCGGAAATTTATATATATATATATATATATATATATATATATAAATAATAGAAGAATTTCAAATCCAAAAGTAAATTAACCAAAATCCAAAATATTGATTCCAATGAATAGGAATTTGGAGAATATAATATACCATTATAATAGTTAAAAATGCTATATACTTCTGCATGGCATTATCTTAGTCAAAAAGGGTCTTTTTTGTATTTTCTTTTCTCTTTATTATATTCTTACCCGCTTTACGTGAATGTCTTAATCATTCCATGATCTTGATATTAATCACATTCATTAACACGAAACTTGATTATATACGATATGTTCTTGCATTTTATATACATTTAATTAATCAAATAAATCATTAATATGTTTTCCTCTGTCTTTGGCTTGATACCGAAATAGAAAAAAAAAAAGAAGATAATACAATGTGATATCCTTTTTTAAACCCCATAGTACACGAATTCGATTAATTTTTAGGGTTTAAGAGTATGAAGAATCGAATATCTTGGTACATATATATATATATATAGAAATGAAATTTATGGCTTTGAGATGAAAAAAATGGTTGCTGTACATGAAAGAACATGTATAATCTCCAAATATTATAATCCAATAAAGATTTATTTTTCATATAATATATAGTTTTTTTTTGTCTAATATGTATAAATTTTCTATAACCATGAGAATCAAATTGGGGAAGTGGACAACCTATATTCTCATTTCAAACATATATTTCCCTGATATTATCTAGTAATCACAATCTGTATAATGGTTGGTGAACTCGTGGTGGGAGCAATGTGTAATCATACCAAAGGAGCTGCTTTGGATTTCAGTATCTTCTGACTCTCGTCGAAGTACTGATTCGGATGGTTGATCCCAGCATCAGTCGACGGTCCATAAACAGCTTCGAACGTCAATGTACATGCCAGCTTCGATTCAATCCAAAGATTTCGGATCAGTATCGAACGAGGGAAAACCCCGAAAAAAGAAGGGATATAAGAGGCTAATAACTACGGATTCTTCACCTGATAGTGCCGGTTTCGGACTTTGTCCATTACGTCTTCTGTTGCGTTAGAACTCAATCCCATTCTACCGAGTGCTGCGCGTAGGTTTTCCTCGCTGTCATCGTAAGGCAGTTAAAAAACGGTTGTAGCATTTTCGTGCAAGAAAAAACATCACTCAGGTTTTATCCAATGATTCCGGCCTCTCTTTCTAAGTTTCAGGATTCTGACATATGCTCGTAATGTTCTCGTTGCAAAAGGTTATCCACTCGTTTAGATGTGAAGCCTCGGAAAAAGTCGAAGTAGGCACAAACATGCTTAATCCAACAGAAATAACAAATGGACATATGACTCGATTCCATCTTCTTGTCGTGTATCAATCCTAAGAGAGCTACTCCCCTACTTGTTTTCCCGAGAAAAGAATGCAACAGTGTCAAGAAGCATATTGACCTGAAATGCCGATATGGACAGCCATGATGATCCCCAACACCAGGAGCAGATGAAATGATCTTTTGACAAGCATAAGGGGTATAATCCTGCAATGGCAATGATGAATTTGGTATGATCAGATCCTTGCGTTTTGGTAGTTTGCTTCAGGTCATATTGAAAGGTGACAAAGGACTTGAAGCTAGCTCGCTTTCAAGAGAGACTTAGTTTTCTTTTTAGAAAGTGACCACCGGCATATTACCGCTCTCTTTCCTTCTTTCCCGTAGTTATGACGAATGGAATATGCATACTCTTTCTCGAACTTCTCAGCGCCAACCTAAAGAGCAAAAGGGGAATGAGAAATAAGCATCCAAGAATGCTGTATTAAGTAGCTAGTAGCTAGTAGCTACCATTTCCCTCGGAGATCAATCTAAATCACCATATAATCAATTTGCTATAGACCCAAACATGGACGGAAGAGCAAATAATAGGAAAACCTAGTTTATTTTCTGGGAAATGGTCAAGATGCATGATGCGGGATGTTAATAGGACAAAACAGTTGCAACGCAATCTTACCTTTTGCGCGAACTCCGCCCTCCAAAATGCTAAGGCGTCATCCAGCTTCAAACCCACACCCTACAAAAGAAAATCTGACGTAAGCAGACTATAAATCAATGGAAGCGTACAAATACAACATGCACATTTCTGCTGAGATGTCTCATATAAGTTCATCTGCATCATGTCACTTTCATGATACTAAACTAAGATAGAGAAGGGAGTATGTGAAACCTTAAGAAAGAGGCCCAATTGCATCCGTCCTACATGTTTTAGATGGTGATCTTCTCGAAGCTGTGAATGGCAGTTCATGTTTTGTAGCAAGGTGGAAGCGGCAGAATTAGAGAATAGATGATTAGCGAACACATTAAGCAGCATACCTTTTCAAATAAATGACGCATACACAGTGGAAAAGAACTCTTGGCAACTTGATCAATGTCCTTAAGTGATATGTCAGCATACTCATGTGACTGCGGAGGCAAATCAATGACATGACAAATTAGATACCACAGTAACGTATAGATAACAAACTTAAAAGGATGATCCCCACCTGAGAATAGTCAGGACCCAAGTAGCTACTGGATAACGTTTCTATGATCTGAATGATGCCAAAAGAAACCCAATCCAGCGTGAGAAAAGGAACATACAAAAAAATAAATAGAAAAGAAAGGAGGAAAAAGATGAGAACACGACAAGTGCAGCAGGTAAGGTATTAGTCGTCTATCTGAAATTAGAAATCACAGAACCCTTAACTTACAGGAGTTAGCCGGTCTTTTTCTCGTTCTATAATGGTAGACATCCATTTTCTGCAACAGAAGGCAAACGTTTTTGTTAAATCCCAGGAAAGGCTTACAAATTGATAGTCTGGAAAGCCTGTTTCTCAGAATCATACAATATGAGCGACAATATCTGGAGAGGTAATTGTGAGATATTCATGTAAACAGAATAACCTGTTTGTCAGAATGAGCGCCTTCGATAAATGAGAGCGAAATTGTGTGACTACAAGGGAAACCAACTGCAGGAAGATAACAGAAAAAGCAGTCACCAGAGGAGATAATACTATTGAAGGGGATTATGTTCAGAAGTTGTACGTGAAACTAAAACTTGCCTGACTCCCAGCTACAAAAGCAAACCCTTTATGTACATATACTCTTCGACTTGCCACAAGGTCCGGGACCTCTTCAAAAGGAACCTTTTTGATGGGCAAATCAATTACTGATCAGCCATACGAATTCTCAGCATGAACATATTGTCTAGTACGAACAACACAATAACTTGGGGATTGCAGATCTACCTTGTAGTTTATGGTTTCAACTGCAAAAATCAAGAAATAAGAGCGACTTTGTGTTAGATAGGGTAGAAGAAAAACAAGATCGCCCAGAAATCGGGAAACTGGAAGGCGTAGAACTGGATAAAGCTATCATCACCTCTAAACACAATAACATATATCCTCATCCAACCGCTGGTTTAGAAAACAAACAAACAAACTATGCATAGCGCTGGTATGTTATACTAAGACTAAGGCATAACGCCTATGTATGCAGTAAGCACGAAGACAAAAGCCTGAGTACTATTTCCAACAGGAAATGGAACCGATAGAAAAGGGTCATACCGCTAGGCGAAATTTGACCTAGTGAACGCACGACTTGACCCAACCTCTCCTTGACACTCTGCGAAGTTGACATAACATCTATAAATTCTGATAAATAAAAGCTAAAAACATCCCAGCATCCACAGAAACTTTCTTCGATTGCATCCTCCGAGATGAATAGATAATTCACTCAACTTCACATTTATTCTTCTGTAACAATGATCAAATCTCTACATACAGCTAACAATTACCTCAAGTTCTGTGCCAGTGACTGCCTTATATTGCAACCCAAATTCTGCCACAATCGTCCTCTGAGAACACAAAACCAAATCTGACCGGGCAATGCACATTTACACAAGAAAAGATTCATGGGCTAAGAGAGAAGTGGTAGTAATACCTGTGCCTCAAAGTTAAGAAGTCGGAAACGGTGGCGGAAAAGAGCAGTTTCTGTGCTAAGAAACCATTTCTTCAACTCCTCTCTTAAGGAAAATCAAGAGAACGCCAAATAAGGAAAACCCAGAACAAAACTAATGCAACAAAACCGTAGGAGTGGAAATGAAACATGAACTCACGTTCTGCAATAAACGAGACGCAGAACGAAATGGGAGGTTATATCCTTGTTGACCATCTGTGAAGCATCCGAGTGTCTCATGTTTGCTTTCCAGAGAGTTTCGACCTACAACGGCACCCTAGAGTGAGAATAAAGACCATAACCTAGGAAACGCCATTGAAATAGTAATTCACTCTGAAACCAGTCAATAGACTTTACCAGATCGTCCATTTCCTTGTGGTTTTTTCCACGAGCCAATCCATCAGAAATCGCTTTCAGAACTGTCACGAGTAACCGATTGGCCCGAGTTCAAAGCCGTAGAATGATTGGTTCCGACCAATTCGACCAGAAATCAAAGCAGATGAAAACTCTAATCCCTCGGAATTGAGATAAACAAGAAAACGAAGTGGGAGAAAGAGAACCTCGGAGGCGATCCATGGCGAAGAGCTCGAACTCTTCGAGGCGGACTTCCAGAGAAGGAGCTGTAAGATAAAGCGGGATCGTCGTGACGGATTCATTGGGGACCGACCGCTTCTGAGATCTTATGACTTCCATTGTTTTCCACTTATCTTCCTCCTCTTCGCCGACAAATTTGGCCTCCACACTCCGACCGCAAAAGCGCACCCAACCCCCAACGATGAGAGCTCCGTTCAAGAGAGCGCGGGAAAAGCACGACTTCTATTGGGCCCCACATTGGGCCTTAATTGGGCCATAACGATGGGCTTCCATATCATGGGCTAACAACAACCTCTGGTTAATCTACAAGTACATAAAATAAGAAAACTACCAAATAAAGTCATAAATATTTTCTATATTTTGCGAATCTAAGATTTAAAATATCATAATATAAAAATGATATGAAATCAAAATTTTCTCAAACCATTATAGAATTTGATGTATTTTATTTCAAGGGAATCAAAGATGTGCAGAGGACATGATCATCATCATCCTCTTCTACAGTCCAAAATCACAAAATGCAATATAACTCTTATAAATATACTCAGAAATATCACTACAAAAATTCTGCAACCTTCTGAGAAATTTCTCTCCAAGAACACTCCAATGGCACCGGGAAGAGACAGAACAAACCCTAAATAAAAATCTCCTCTTCAAGATACAAAAGTACCCCCACTTTGTCGTTTTGCTGTTCCACCATTCATGATCTTTATATGTATGAAACAGTAACCGGAACAGGAAGTACCGCCGCCGCGGCTGCTATTGCGGTCCGGACGAGTGAGAGGGCTGAGGCACGGCATTGATGGCGCTCCTCGTCCTGAGGATTCTCGGGGCGGAGAATATCCCAAACAGACCAGAACCAGAACCCGTGGCTGATGACCCGTTGCTGGTGGTGGCTTCCGTGTGACGAGTTTGAGTTCTGTCGGAAGAAGGGTCTCGGCTGTTGCCAGAGCATTCGTTCACATCCTGACAGGGGAGAGTTTTACGGGGAGATTGTTTCAGATTTCGTGTGGAGATAAATGAAAGAATACGTATTTACGTACGTAACGTACCTTCAGACCGGACAAGGACTGAGCGTGCTGAAGCAGACGCTGTGACGACTGTCCAAACAAACGTGAGAAATCTCAGCGTTGAATCGATCGAAACGATATGCAGAAGCCAATTCTTGTCGGGATATGATTATGGGCGTACCTTGTTCGATCCATTAGATATCGAAGATGAATGGGAATGAGATTCGCGGGGAGAAACAGGGGGCAAAGAGCCAGTCTGCTCATTTCGAAGAACCGTATTAAGAGGAGAAGCCATTCATATGACGATGAGATCAGACGAAGAAGGATTCGAATCGCTTACCCTTGACGACGGTGTCATAGGAGCTGCCTCAAGAGCCGGTCTTGATGAATTCGATGGCAAACCCTGAAAAAAAAGAAGCATTCCCGGAAAATTAGACAAAAAATATCAATGAAACGGATCTACAAGTTTATAACACGGGAAGGGTTCATTGCCTGAGCGGGCTCTTGGATTCTTATGTTCTCCCGATACTGAGCGTACAGTGTCCCGACTCCTTTCAGCGTTATATCCTTTACAGGCGGGTAAAAAATAAAAATATCAAAACACAATGATATAAAAAAAAATAAGCTGTAATTTAAAAGATGATATCGAAACAAAAACCACCTGCTTTCCTTCGATACGGTTGATTTTACTTTCCTGCAAAAAAAAAATGGTGAAGAGAAGAAGATTATAATCATTTACATGGTTTTTGGTTTTTTTGGGCACCGGCACCACTAGCATGTACATGGGATTACGCAATTTGCTTACCAGAGTTTCGACGACATAACGAACGGACCTGACATCATCGTTGATTCTTGATGCACCGTCACGTAGTTCAGTCACCTAAACGGTTTTAATCCATTTTCAAGATTCGTGGCGTTGAATCATACAGTAAGTCCATAATCTTTTAACGTATTTCCCGTCGAAATCTACCTCTTTTCCTGTTTCTTTAGTAATCCCTTCAATCTCGTCCAAACTAGAGTCCACTCTCTCGATTCTTGAAGATAAATGCCGTTTTGTAGCCTGCCATGGATGAACATAAACAGAAACAGAGTAACAAAACCATACAACAATTGATTTTCTACCATAATCGGAGACCAGATCTTATCAAATATGTCTGGTTATGGAATAAAAGAAAACCATGAACACAAAATTCATTGGATTCACAAAAAGAAATAGGGGCAGAAAAAAACTTGCCGAAATCGAGGAGTAGACATCCTCAAGCTGTTTGGCAATAGAATTACATGCATCGGATAAACTACGCCTTGTTGCAAACATAAAATCCGGAAGTTTCCATCCCTGATAATATTTCCAGAAGGAATTAATACCCAATTCGTTGTAAATGGAGAAGATAATAACAAGATGGAGAAACCCGAGTCAAATTGATAATGTCAGCACATAAAAGCAAGTGAAAAGATATAACTTTTGGTAGGAATGACAACATTACCTTCCACCACACGTATCCATACCCTACAACTGCGATGATAATGATCACACCATACTTTCTACCACCTGAAATCGGAGGGAAACTGTTGAGATTATCTTCAGAAAAAGCCAACAAAGAATGATGGCACAGATGAGAAGACAATGTTGTGGCATTCAGGACCAAAAAAAAAGGCATGTCATTACAAGGGAAAAATTCAAAAGGGACATCCAAAAAACAACCGAGAAAATGGACATAAATATTAAAGACCGAACTACTAACATTCCATAGTGTTGCAACATGTCGGTAATAAGTCCATTACCAAAAAAAAAAAAGGTCAGCACTCTGTTATTGACAAAAATAGACTGTAATAGGCATATTCAGCACATATGTAAGGCAAAAGAAGAGAAGAGAGAAACAGAGGAAGATAATTCCATGAACATAAAAGCAGACGTTAGAGAGACCTGATCCACCCGTAGAGACAATGGTGATAGACCTGTTTGAAGCCAGCATCTGCAATTCCTGTCTTAGACTGTTCACCTAAAAATGACAAGACCTCAGAAGATAAGTAAACAGTATTGTTATAACTAACCAAAAGCATGATTCGCTATTCCGTAGGAAATAACCCCTCAAGTCGTCACATGAGTCTTACAGCTTTCTTACTCAGTCTACTACTGAATAGCAGACGACACTGACAATTAGATTAATGTTCAGACTAACCTGAGCCAAAAGGGTATCATTGTGAGGCTTCTTAGCTGATTTGACTTGTTCTTCTTGTTTTAGTTGCCTGAACACAATCTGTAAAGAGAAGAAGACAATTATGACACTTTGTCACACATCATTCTACAACCAAGCTTCAAAAGTTACATGAAATGGAATAAAGCAGAGAATCAACAAGATGAGCAAACACTACAACAAAGCCACTGTAATAGTTCAACCCGTAAAAAAAGAAAATCTCCATTCGATCTAATCCCATTTATTCAAATTCAATCACTTCATTGGAATACCTTGAATGCACCAGAGATGAAACTTGAAACATCTGGTAAACCTTCTTTTGCAATAACTGAGCCGACAAGACCTAAAGAAACACAAAAACAACATAACTCGGTTAATTAAAGTGAACAATAAGCAACATAAACGCATACATACAAGGAATCAGAAGCCAAAACTTCCCAACTAATACCGACATTCATCAGATAACCAATATTCTTCCTTAGCAAGTTCTATACTAATCATCCAGAGTATATACAGACACAACGAACCCATTTAGGTGACTAGAAACCATCTTTGCAATACATTAGGGCAAAAAATTTGATACCCAGATCTTTGAAACGAAGTTAAAAGCAATTCGGCAAAAATCTAGTCTGAATCAAATACGCCATAGCTAAAAACCCGAACCGATCATCAGATTGAAACATCAATCGCCTCGAAAATCCAACTGATGCACAATCAATGACAGAGAACCAACCAAAGACAGATTTTCCCCTATGGATCAAGGGTTTATCAAAAACCCTAATTGCTCTCCCACTTATTACGACGCCCCAATCGGAAGAAAAAAAACTCGAATAGAAACCGAGTTGAATTCCAGCGAAGCACAGCCACAGAGACTAATACAAGAGAGGAAACCCCCATGAATGCACGGACCTGCACCGACGAGGAGGGTCAGCTTCCCGAGCGGAAGAGCCATGATCACCGACTGAGACTATGAGCCCAAGCTTTAACCTTGAGACACTAAGACGAAGGTAGATTCCGCATGAGAGGATTGGAGAGACGACGGCGAAACAGAGAAGTTCTTAGGTAAGACAATGGATTGTTGTCTTGTGGGGGAGAGAGAAGACGCGAGTTGTTCCCTTTTTCCGGCAGCAGCAGCGTTTCCTTTTTTTGAGAAAATTATTATATAAATATTATTTTTTAATATTTTTCTTTTGGGCTATAATTATTAGGGCCTTTATTGGGTCCTTTTATTTTTCTAGATATTGAATAAAATGTCGAAGAAAAAGTCATTATTTATTATTTAATTTTTGTTTTAAATAAAAGGGTATAAGAATTTAGCCAACCTTATTATATTCACGAACTGATTTGGCCGATGGAATGTTATTTTCGAATCGGATGTATAATTACTAATTACATTCTAGAAAAAAATATATGCAATTACGTATATTCTATTTTTTTATTGGAAATTAAATGGTTGATCAATTATAAATAAAACAGATTTAATCTTAGAATTAGAAATTAATAAGTCAAAAAATAAAAAAAAATCACATATTAAAAAAGAAAATATATGGCTTATATATGTATTCTATTATATTTCCTTAATTAACAAATCTGTTATCATTAAAGTTTAATTATGGTCCTCGGGCGTGAACCCATTTCCACTTCTGCTTCTTTGGATCCACTTAGTGGGCTATGTTGGGCCGATAATGTAACGGCCCATCAATAAAGCCCAATTGGCTACGTCACAAATTGGTAAAGCCCAAACATTTTGTCGATTATTTCTATTTTTAAATTTTTTTAAAAATTATCATAATACGTGAAAATTCTCGCTGAAGAATAGCAATAATTGCTTTTTGGATTTCTTTTGATAAAGAACTTTCTGGATTTCTTCAATGCCGAGCGGTATTTTCAATTTCAATGACGATGGAGACCTTGAATCTCTTGTTTCAGGCAAGATATGCGGAAGTTCTGGGAGCATTTAATTGCGTTTTTTTTTGTAATGTAATTGTTTTTTTCCCCAATGGATTTCATTTCGCGTGTGATGGCCTTGGAAACGGGTGACGAAATGTCTTGCGGTGTTTTCTTTTCGTCGTCTTCCGAAAATTGGATGTGATTCAAGATGATTGAGGAAGAAGGGTTTTTCCTGTTAATTTCTTCCTTTTTGCGGTTTTTCCATTTCCGCGCTAATGTCGCTCGCTTACGCGCTCTGTGTCTCCGATTCCGTGTTTTTTCTTCCTCCGAGAGTGGTATAGCTCGAGACGACGGTCGAAATCTATATTGGGTACGATGACGTTTTCATGACGACAAGATTTTTGATGTCGTTGACAATGGCGAGGCTGTCTGGTCGGTTTTTCGCTGTCCTGCAGCTTGTTGTCTTTTATCACCTTGATCTTTATGTTTGTCTTGATGCCTTCGGATTATGTAGCTGACGAAAGCATGGCATTCTTCCATCTTGTGTTTGTTCCTGTCTGTCTATCTTTATTAGACGTTTATCAGATTTTCCCAATCTTTTTTGATAATGGGTTGAAGTTGAAGATTTCTCTTACTAAAACCTGATACTTTGGTTTTTGGTTTGATTCTGTAGCAAGCAAGCAACATTAAGCTTTCACCACAATCAAAAGTAGGCGTTTTTCATAACGTTACAGGCGATAATTTGCTTATTCCGTTCTCGGGTTTCTCTTAATCAAGCACACCATGGTTTGCATATATCAATAACGGAAACATTACTTAGTAGATTTGCTGATAGATAGTGCCCCATACATACTTGGGACTGACCATGGACGACCGCCCAGTAGTTGAGCCGGTTGTCCACAGCGTTTTGTTGCTCTGTTCACTTAGAGCTCCAACACCAAATCTGCAAGAACAGTCAAAGATTGCATAAGGGTAAAGCTAGAAACTATTCTTTCCCGGAATTCTATTATTAGTTTGGATAATATTACATCAGTAGCGTATAATTCTCTAAAGAACCGATTACGTGTGCATGTTGTAATGTGGAAATGCTGTGTGGAATGTTATAATTGTGTCGTTGATGGGGTTTTGTGATTGAGAATGGGGTTTTACTTACAGTCGGCGTCGGATTTGATCCAGAATTCCCTGTTCCCATTTGAGTCACTTTTTAGAGCGAACTGAGGGTTGAACTGGCTCTTGTAGCAGTTTCTTGTTCCCTTGTGAGGAATGACACCCTGAGAAAGTGCCATAGTCTCGCCTTTGGGAAAAGTCCGGCATTGGTAGTTGCTTGCACCATCAGAAGAGATGCTTCGGTGCTTCTTTTTCTCTTTGGGGAGTTTCATGTGCGTTTTGCTTGATGTTGAACTTTCAGGATGCACTTTCCTGTGGAATATGTGTAGGATCTACATGCCATATATGGAAATATGAAAAACATGGTGCAAACGTTGCAAGTCAAATGTTACTTGCGACCAAAATCAGAAAAATGTTGCTTGAAGAAAACCCATATATTCATATATGCATTGATGAAGCTTATGAGGCAGAGCTTTCTTTGTCATGTTAATCACACTGATGTCCACTGGCCATTATCAATATTTGGTTTTAATAAATACTTAGCATAAGAGCCTTACCTCAGCAAACTCAGAATGGAATTGTTAATAGAATTTTGGATTTGACTGGGTGTACCTTGTTCAGTTTTGTTTCTGCTGGGGATGAATTTGCTGGTCGGCCATATGCTGCAGTGGAGCTTCTGGATAGATGTGGAACTCTTTTCTTCAGCATCCTTTTCATCATATTGACTGCTGATTTATCTGCATCCTTCTCTGTTCGCTTCTCATCTCTCTCGCACCTTCCTCCACCATACTCATCGGTTATTTTAGTTTTTTGAAACAACTCTCTCAGGGATGTTCTATGTTCCTTCTTTACTGTTGTTGTTTCTGACATCTCAATTGCTGATCCAAAGAGATATCCCTGGAGAGGACAGACATTACTTCCATTGTGGTTGGCCTCTGGGATCTCCAAAGTCTTACCACTCAGAGTGATTGTACTTCCTTGGCTGCTTCTGCCAGCACTGACATGACTGTTTCTCGCAGAGGAGGCGTCACAAATGTCTTCTTTGACTTCTGCTCCAAGAATCTTTTCCAAATTATCATTTAGGAGTTTCAGCTCTTTCTCTGTTACTTCATTCTCCAGGGAGATGGTGAATGTTGGTGTTGACGGGGCGCTGATATTAGGGTCTGAGCCAAGGGTACCAATTGCAAGAAAGCCATCGAATATCTCAGAAATTGCTGGTGACTCTTCATCTTCGTGATCTTCTTCTTCAACTTGTGTTGTTTCAATACCAGTGAAGGATTTTCTGAAGTATGCTGGGTTCTGTTCGTAGAATTTGGTTCCATAAATTGGTTTAGCATAGCAGTATTGCTGATGATGTGGTGGCTGTCCAGACATATGCGTGCCCACATTTTCTGATAAAATAATGTCAAAAGCAAAGTGGGACGGTGCAAATGTTTTTGCTGAGAAAGGTTTCTATCAATATAATTCTATAAGGATATTAGCTGTGTTGTCTCTGTATATGTCTAGCATCAGGTGTTCAGTGTAAGTTTATGATTAACATGTAATAGCATGTCCTGATGCAAGCCTTCTTGAGCCTTGGTCCATGTCTACTTTTACCCTTTGGTGAGTGAATGTGCACCCTTTTTATTTAGTCATCAATTTCCTACACTGTTCATATATGCTAATTGCTAGAATTCAAATTCAGAATGTGTGGCAGAGGACTAACCCATGACAAAATCCTTGAGTGGTTCATTGCTATTCTGCCGGAATTTCCGGTGCATCCAGCCCAGTAACTGCACCACCAGAGATTGTAGGAGTTAATAACTGCATGGAAGATCACTGTTACCAAGTATAATGGATTGGTAATTACCTTCATGATATATCTCCTGCTTTCAACTCTGGAACTTCTTTTTTTTGCTCTATTGGAACAAGGAGATTTTGAGTAATTGCCTTTGTTATTAAATTAGGCTTTTTTATGGTATATAAACAGCTCTCCCAAGTCTCTACTTGCCGAAAGTAAGCTGGCTTGAGAGAAACATAGAGATAATTACAAGATTGCGGTTTTCAAGATCAAATCATGTGATCACCGGCCAGGGGGGGTCCCCATTTCTTGATGTGGGAAGTGAACAGTATTTCAGATAGATGGATCTGCATGGTTTTATCAAAGAGGTTAGAAATTTCCATTGCATGATCCTGCATTGTTCACAACATTTTATGACCTTCCTTTAAAGTCTCTTGTATCATGTCCATGGAAGGTACATTTAGCGGTCTAAGATCAATTTGGGTTCGGTTAGTTGTGTTGTGGGAGACTCCCAAGCACCTGAATGTCTATGACCTTATTTTGACATTTCAATTATCATATACTACTTGCTGCTGGTAGCCTGGTACCCGTGCCCTATGGCAAGTTGTATATTTTGGTTGCTATATGTTAGTGGAAAGACCCTAAGAAGAGTGGCATGAGGTGCAAAACATTTTACTGCCAACACCTAAGGCTTAAATCTGATATTGAACTTGTTAAAGAACGTATCTCATGTGGTCTGATTTTGGCTGCCCTCTGCAATGACTTTCTTTTTTACTGGAATTAGTTCAGTTACTGCCTCTTCCTCTTGGAAGAAGTTCATGTTCAGTGTATTGTGGTGGTGTTACGCGTAGAGCTTAGAGATGGACTGACTTGAATGCATCAAGGGTATTATTACCTTTCCATAATAAGGATCGTCCGCTGAAAATTGGATGCCATTCTCATGAATACTTGCAAGTTGCATCTGATTTCATCTTGGCTAGACCACTGTTTTTGTTTGTTGAAAATGTAGGTTTTAAACTAACTCGCTTGCTTTCTTACTGTTACCGCTTTCCTTCATCCTGAAAACATTGCCATATGAATAGATATGTTCAATCTGGTTGTCATTCCCATATAATCTCACCCTACAATTTGTTGCTGCAAAATAATTAGCTTTGATGAAGTAGGCTCTCTTTGTATTTTTCCCGTTCGAATTTGCTTCCTTCTCCGCTTGTTTACCTGTAGGTAGTTATTAAACATTTTTATTTGTCTGAGGTATTTTCAATTTCTTAGGATTATTGACAAAGAAATACGGATATCATTGATGTTGAAGCTTATCGAGAAACCTCCAGAAACAGGGTAGGATGATCATCGGTAAGAATCTACCTCGTCTCTATAAGGTATCCGAGAAAATATAACTATGCATAAAAGCACTAAAAGAGTCATTACAACATAGTTCAAGATGGATATATTGCAAAAGATTCTAGTTCTAGGAAATTATCTTAGGTATTCCTGTTCTAACTTGAGGTTGAAGTCCCTAAGCTTGCCAAAAGTACCCTCACAGAGAATAGAGTACGAATTGTTTTGTCACGTAGCTTGTGTTTGCTTTGTCCATATGAGAGTAGATGTTTGTCAGAAATGTAGGAGGTATATTAAGTAAATTACAGAGAAAGATGAAGATAGAAAGGTGGATCATCTAAGGGCTTAGTTTCCTTCCGGTTCCGGCAATTTCGATTTGGAAGAACCAAACACTATGTCTTCTCTTTCGATTTGGCCGACCAGTAATCTTCCGTGATGGTTTCTAGATATTATTGTTAGGCTGGCGGAAAAGAAAATGTGTTGCACATTAATGCAACACGTACATTTGGATGATTCGAACCCGTGTAACTCACGCCGAACGACCTGAACTAAACATTCTTCATGTGTAGGGACAGGGAGAAGAAGCCTGTGCCATGCTCTTTTGAGTAGCCAGCATTTGACTAGAGGGTACAAATTGATGACTTTCTTTTCACGAGGAACTTAAAAGGGCAATATGAGGTCCATTACATGTCGCACAAGTTGTGTTTCTCCTCATCATGGAAGGCACACATGCAATGCAGCTTACTCCGGTACGTCTTTCCAACACAACTTGCAACTAGAAAGATGCAATTATTGAATCACACGACAATGCAGTAGAAGGTTTTTAGAGGGTTGTAGTTATTGAATCAGATTTGGCGATATTCGGTTCTTGTTGGCGATTACCACATCAAACAACTAGAATTCACATACATCAATTTTCTTTTTCCATGATTGAGGTTAGAGAATTCGTTTCTTTAGAATGTCTGATGATCAGACCAGTCCAAGAAAAGACTCCAAAGAAATGTCTAGTCGCTTACCTTATACAATAGGGGTCCCGGGACCCTCCCCTGCCTTTGGCTTCTGACACTTACTGGAACCATACATTTGCTGGAATATGAAAAGATATCAATATTGACCCATTCCGAACCAATCCTTCTGGAGCTTGCGCATTCAACCTGATGTATGGCTTTGGCACCATTTAGCACAGGCATTCCACAAGATCATGAGCAGAACATTTTCTTACAAACTGTGTTGTCTGGGGAAGTTGTCTAAAGTCTTGTTAGACATCATCCGATACTGGTCGGTATGCCATCATTAACTCATAATACCACTTCTCGGGACTATTACCGTGCTTCTAGGAGAACAAAGTTGATTTCGGCATTGAGTAGGTAAAACCGGTTGATGATTGATTGATTCATGCAAATGAAGTTAGGCTATATTTTTCTAGAAAGCATCCAAGTATCTAGAAGCAGTTTTATCTCAAGATGAACAACTTCCTTTAATCTCCGGACATGTTTTTTTGTCTCCCCATGTTTGTCTTTACCCTCCTTGCAGATTCTGATGAGCAAGGCGACGAGATCAACAGTGATCTGCGTCGATTCATGTCCCGAGGCGTACCCTTTTCACACAGCCCGCGGTGATGAACTAGACAGCGGTTTTCGCCGAAACACCCAACTCCCACTCACCTCAACTACTGAGGTACTACAGAATTTGCTCCTTCCTTTCCCATTTTTTGTTGGTGGTGGGTTTGATTTGGCTGGCTCTTGGACCTGAAGATTTAGGACATCTCTGTTTCCATTAAAGACCAGTGCCAGACCAGGCACTTTCATGAGACATTTGGCTTTCCGAGTTGTGCAAGAAAACACTGACATTGAAACCAAAGATAACATGAGAAAACGACCCTTTTTAGACTTAGGAGGCATCGGTCTTCTTCAACTCATAGGGTTGTCACTCTTCTTTTCCAAATGCTATAAAAAGAACAAATACCTCCTTTTTTTTTTTTTTTGTAAAACCCATAAAAAATTTTAAATTTATAAAACAATGGAAAACAAATTCGTAAACTTTTTTGTTTGACATCTAGAACTTGCAAAACGAATTATTGTAATTTTCAAAACTTGTTAATTGGTATCATTATAATTCCTAAATTTAGGAATTGTAATGATATATTTTACTAAATTTGAGAATTATAGTGACTCATTTTGTAGTTCGAGAATAAATTTGTTAGACGAAAAGTTTGAGAATTTATTTTTCACCATTTTACAAGTTTAGAATATAGATTTTATCCTTTTTTTTTCAGTTGTTAATTGTTAATTTGAAAAAATTATTAGTGTTCATTTTTTTAAGCAATTCAATCTCACGATTGGTAATATTGCAATGATCAATCGTCATTATTGATGCTTTTTGTTGCGCTTTTTCCTCAGTGTCCCAATTTCTGCTGCTACTGTCAGAAACTTGTTCAAATGAGCTTTTGTCCTCCATTTGTTTTTTTGTATTTTTGCAATTACATATATAGGTTTATTATAATTTTTTTAATGTTGAAAAATAAAATAAAATAATTTGAGCGTGATGATAGTGTTTTAATAATGTTGTTTTTCCCCATACCATGTCGGTGCTGTTTAATTAAAAAAAAAAATATTCAGTGATCATTATCCATTGGAATATTTCAAAACGAATCAAATCTAATGATATATGAATCAATATAATTTAATATCGAGCATTCAATATATTTTGTTTTTAATTAATTAATCGATCTGAATTAATACGGACACATTGACAGATAAAGCAAAAAAATTAAAAAAATATTTTTTTAATAAAAAATAAATACGAATAAAATTCTATAGAACGAAAATTTGTACATAAATCTAATATCTATAATTTTTATAATAGAAAAAACAGAAAATAATTAAAGTAAAAGTGAGTGAAATATCAATCAATAGATTCTCTACTACTCGTAGCCCTAATCATATACATAAGCTAACTCCCAATAGTATGTTAAAAGTAGACTTCTCCTTTTACCGTAATAATTGTGTCGTTTTCGGACATCTTTCACTAATTAGTAAAAAAAAAAAGACTGTGATTAACAACTTCAATTAATGGGAAAAATCACTTTTACTTGGCAAATAAATTATCCATTGCATTGAAATTATTTTCCAAAGTTCCAAACTTTGCCATAAATATCATCATAGCAATGTAGATAGTATACATATTAAAGATTAAAAATAATAATAATAAGACAAAACCAAACATATATTAACAAAAGATTATACACATCAGTTACACCATCACTTTGAGAACTCGTTAATCAGAGAAAAAAAAAATTTGTTGGCCCACCTCTTTGAAAGTATCTCTACCTAATCCATAAACTTTGTTCCTAAGCAAAATTTTATTTAAAATTAAAAATAAAAAATAAAAATGCGACCTTTGTACTACACAACTTAAGTGTTATCAACAACCCTTTGTCATAGCTGATTTTCCTGGAAAATCTTAAAATTTTCCGGGAAAGTAAAACCAATATGGAAATAACGAAGGAAATTCTCATCAAAAAACGATATTTTGAAGGAAAAAAAAAAGAGGGTGTGGGATTACGCCTGCATTTGCATTTCAACCAAGAATATACACAAACATAACCATGCCGTTGATTCTTGATATTTTTTTCATAAAGAAGAAGCAAAAAAAAAAAAGCAAAAGCATTCACCTTTTTTTTTCTTGCAAGTTTTTTTTGGAACCAAAAGGAGCTTCAGTTTTTTTCCCGATGATATATGCCTTAAGCGTTCGGATTCCAAAGACTCCATATACGGGAATTGAATAAACCCAACACGTCCGGCAACACCTTCCTCGCCAACCCCTTCCGCTCAGCCTGCGCCGGCGTCCGTACAGCCACCACCGGCGAACTCTCCGGTGTCTCTCCGGCTAACACCTCCTCCGCCACCTCATCATCTCGCTTTCCGGCGAATCTTCCCGGCGAGCTAGCGGGAGACACGGCGGCGATTTCATCAGGAACGGCGGAGATCTCCGGCGATACGGCGGTGGATTCGTCGGGTCCGATTGAGGGCTCCGCCGGCTTGGGTTTGTCTCCTCCACGACGACCCGACTTCTCCTTCTTCTTTCCCCTTCCATTGTTCCTCTTCGGTTTCTGAGAAGAAGAAGCTTCACCGCTAATCAGATGATCTTCGAAAGCTTCGATGACATGGTGGATGAGCTCGCGATTCGACGACGAGTCCCATCGGAACCAGTAGCTGGTGTAACAGTCAAAGCACTCGCAATCGAACTCCGGTGGTTTATGGGCTTCACCCTTTTTACCAGATTTCTTCTTATTCTTCTTCTTCGAGTCATGGGTCATGGAGGAGGAAGAAGACGACGACGGCGAAGAAGCCGCCGCAGAACAGGGGCTTCTTGATTTGCCGGAGGCGGCGGCGGCGGCGGCGGTGGTGGTGGTCTTGAGGGACCTAGTGATCAAGTAAGCGAGGACTTCGCGGTCTTCGGCTGAGAGAGCAGAAGCAAGAACAAGAATCGCAGCGGGAAGAAGCTTCAGGACGGAGAGAAACCCATCTTCTCCATTGACAGAGCTCGACAGCTGAGGTGGAGGAGGAGATGGGTAAACTTTACCTTTGTTCTTTATTTTCATGGCGGATTCTTCTCAGAGAGAGAGAGAGAGAGGACGATGAACAGTGTTTAGCCCCTTTTTCTTGTCTTCCTCAATCAGTAGAGAGAGAGAGAGAGAGAGAGAGAGAGAGAATTCGCTTTGTTGAATTTATTGGGTTTCTTTATGGTTTTTGCAGATAAAGGAGAGAGAGAGAGAAGGTAGGTGTCGTCATAGCGTAAATTTCCAGGTTTATTAATTTGAATGCATTTCCACCTTCAGCGCGTGATCCTCACGCCCCCTCCAATTATTAATCTCTTAATCTTTAGTATTAGTTCATGGGATTAACGTGAATAATCTTAACGTTCATAAATAGCCAGAAAAAAAAGATACAACACACTATATTTATATCATATGGTATATATATATGACCGAACCGAACATTTATAGTCAGAGATATTTTTTATATTTGTAATCGCGGTAATACAAAACAACACTACACATAATAATGACTAAAAATTATTAAAATATCATCTTGGTTTATTTAATATACATAGTTTTTTAAAATAATGCTTGTAAACATACATAGGTGAACTCAAATTTAAAAGCTAGTGGTTTGTATTACGACCAAACACAGTATCTAATCATTTGATCATTAAATTTTATAATTATCACAGAAAAATTATATTTCGGGGGAAAAAAATACAATACTTATTGGGCGAGTGAAATCACGCGAGGAATGGCGCGTAGGGATGAGGAAAAAAATACTGCATTGGTCGAACCGAGGGGTCTACCTTGCGCTGTCCGGTCACCTATGGGTGGCACCGGGAAACAACGGCAGTGGCACTCATCGGTAATTACCCCCAAAAGTCCGTGGGCATTTTCGTCTTTTAAAAATATGAGGCCAGAAAACAACAGCCGACCAGGAAACAAGAGAGCGGCGCACGATAATAGTAGAAATCAAAAGAACCAAAACCCTAAAAATCAAAGACGAGACGAGTACGGACGAACGGGCCTTTGCCCTTTTCCCTATGTTTTATTTTTTTTTTTTCTTTTTTTTTTGTTAGAATAATATTTCTTTCTCAAATTATAAGAAAACCGAGAGAGGAGATGGATTATATATTAGAATAGGCGTTATGACGAAATCTGAAAAACAAAATACTGAAAATTTGTAGTAACAAATTATCCATAGAATATTAAATTTTTTTTTTATATGTATTAGGGTTGAGAACAGATGTTATATCCTAAAAAATCATAATATGGGTTCGGATTCGGAAGTTTTGGATATTTAATTATAAGATTTATATCCGGAATTTAGGGTTTATGAGTATCCAGTGTAATGTTCGGGAATTCGTGGATATTTAGATCCGAATTTATTTAAAAAATAATAATATTTTTATATATAATTTTCAAAAATATGAGATAAATAAATAAATATAATAAGAGATAAATAATAATAAATTTAATTTTTTTAGATAATATAAAAAATATAAAATTATTTGACTTAAAATAAATATATTTTATAAAAAAATATTATATAGATATAAGATATAATTATTTATAACCATATTAGTCGGTTATCTACGAAAATCCGATTTTAAAAATTATATTATTCGGATTTGGATTCGGATTCACGGATATTGAGAAATTTAGATTCGGAATTGGATTTGAACTTGAATTTGAATAGATACAAATACCCTAAAATTGGATATATAGGAGACGAATATCCGACGGATATCCAATTTTCGGGTATTTGTGCTCATTCTTGGTATGTATTCATTTATGTTAAGACAAATGGGTTAAAAAAAATATGGCAAAGAAATTAGAGACGACCAAAGTGTACCCCGGTATATAATAAAATGGACCATACTAACTGCAATTTGAACTTACAACTATAGATTGCTATAAGTTATAACCATAAGATAATATTTGATATTAGCATAATTTGTGTAGGTTGACACGTCAGTTCCTACATTTAGCCTTGTTTTGGAAATCAAACTAAATGAGGCTGATTAACAGAAAAAAAAAACTAAATGAAGGCAGTTACATATATATATATATATATATATATATATATTTAATTAGTAATAAAGTTATTATCAAATATTTAACCCAAATTTAGGTGGTTTTGCGAGACAACATGCAAAACATGCTCTCATTCTAGATTCAAATCTAAGAATGGGGAGAAACATTCACCTGGGTTTCTCCGATCCTCTGAAAGATGTAGTCGGACTAAAGGTTAGGTGAATTTCCAGATTATCACAAAAAAAGTTATTAAATATCTTAAAGGGATCTTGTATTTACACAAAAAAAAGAGCTCTTATATCTTTTTTTTTTTAAATAATCACGTGTAATGATAGGTTCACTGTCTCCAATCTCCATATGCTTTATTCTTCAATACGACCCACCTTATGTGCGATTTGGAGTGTTGCTTATTGGGCCCAACGAGCATAAGGCCCATTTAGCTATCATGATCCATAAACCCAAAGCCCATTACCATTTCTCACCTAAAACATAGGATATGAATTCTTAGAACATTAGCAATAGCAGATACATGATATTGCGTGTATCCCAATATTTAAGTTTTTAATGTATGAAAACATAAATTGGATTCTAAATCTTATTATCGAAAAAAAAATATATAAATATCCATTTCACATTAGTCCGTAATATTGGGCATAATCCAACCTTCATTTAGCATTAATGAGTGAGATCACAATTACATACATAAATGGAGATATATTTCCTATAGGGAAAATTCCATGGATTTTAATAATATAAAAATTCATGAAATAAAAATACATTGTAATCTATAAAATATATACACCAATTTTGAAAATGTTTTGAAATTCCTCCAAAAGTTATGTCAAAACAGATAAAATACAATATATATATATATATACACGCACGCATTTATCAACCAATGGAATGGCATCATGATGAAGGTTGGCTGGCATCACGTGAGTGAGTAGGGTTATCTTAGAACAATCCAATAATAGTGTGGGTGAAAATATGAGTGAATGAGAAATATTAGGGTGAAAAAGTGAAAAGCGGAACTTGTAATTTTTTTAGGGAATATAAAAAATATAAACTTTTTAAATTTGGTAAATAAATAAATAAAATTTTAATTTCGTATTAAAATATATAGAATTTAGAATTTTTTTCGTATAAATCCACAAAAAAGACAAACGATCTTAATGTTTTTTTTTATGAATTTATGCGAAATTTAAAAAAATTCATGAATTTTTGTTAAAAAAAATTCAAGCATATGATTTTGTCTGCCCAGAGGGCGGGAGTTGGGCAAATTCTTTGCTTCCTTGTACCGCAACCCTATATTATTGATCCCCATTTAATCCCTTTCAAAATTAGATTATTAATATTTTTACTTTATGATTACCATATATATATATATTATTAATACGTTTATATTAAAAAGCAAAACAATTATAAATATTAGTTTTGCACAATAAAGAATATACAAAAAATTTAGTTATTATGTATAAACCAATTGTTAATGCAAAAAAAAAAATATTTATCCGCTTTTATAGACGCAATTTACCCTTTTTAATTCTGATTTTTAGGCTACTTATTTTGTTTCTCGCTCATCTATTTTTATGGGTCAAAGATATATGTTGTTCGTGGATGGAAAAATCTAACCTTTTTTTGGAATTTTATCTTTCTTATAATAAAATGGGAATCTTTGGGGGGTGAATAGAAGAAAATCCACAAGGGCCATAAAAATTTAAATAAAAAAGGGGCAAAATCATTATAAAAAGGGTCAAAGAATGAGACAAATGCATCTTGCCTTCTTTCACCCTCCATGAACAGAATCCCACTATAGTTTTGGAAAACGATTAAATCAAAATTCCCTCTTTTATATTTATTTTCTTAATATATGAAACTAATTAGAGCTCTGTATTTTCATTATTTTCTTTTTTTGGGGGAAAAAATACCATTCTTTGCTAAAGAAACAGTTCAGAAATTTGGTGGACTTTGAAGGGTAATTTAGAGAGGAAAAAAAAACAGAAACACAAAGCCGTCATAAAAAAAAAAGTCAGGATTTTTTTTTTGGGTTAGTGGAAAGTGGTAAGTATATAATCAGGGTTTAGTGTTGACCCCAACAAATAATAAGGCTTTTGAGCAACTCGAAGAGAGAGAGAGCACCACTCGCCAAATTCACAAATTCGTTCTCTATAATATCCCCAAAGGTCTTTGATTTCTCTATAATAATCACAAATCATCCCCCGGGAAAAGCCTAGAAATTCAGAAGAACAGGGGAAAATTCTGGGTTTTTTTTTCGTTAAGCAATGGATTTCTGGTCTTCCTCTGTCTCTACAGATAATGAGTTGGAGAAGTTTGTCATCAGAATGAACCCTCCAAAGTAATTAAATTTCTTTTTTCTTTTTTCTTTTTTTCCTTTTGCTGATGCTCTTTTTTGAATTATACCCATGAAAGTTTGGAGATTTATGGATTTTGTCATATGGGTTTCCCTTGGATTGTCTTATTCATGTCGAATTCCTCGTTTTTTTCCTCTGGTTTCGATTTCAGGGTAACGATTGATAATGCATCGAGCAGGAAGGCGACCCTCGTGAAGGTAACTATGATTGGAGTTTTCGAAGATCATCGTGTGAATAAGGAAAAAAAAAACCTTTTTTTTGGGTGTGATTTCGATTTGGTGATGTTGACAAGTTGAATAAAGAAAAAAGGATTTGCGGACTTGAACAGGTCGATAGTGCAAATAAGAGGGGGAGCTTGTTGGAAGTGGTTCAGGTTTTGACGGATTTGGACCTTTTAATCCGTCGAGCTTACGTTTCCTCTGATGGCGAATGGTTCATGGATGGTACGTTTGCCTCTGTATAATCATATCTATGTATGTACATCCCTCGTGTATGTGTTTCTGAAAACTCCATTGAAATCTGCTTAATCTGGTCTGGTTCCAGTTCAATGGCAGGAATCGATCCAGTTTCAATCCGATTTTCGATTTTTCGGTACTGAGTTTTGGGTTAACGATGTTGTTGCAGTGTTTCATGTGACTGATAAGAATGGAAATAAGGTGATGGAGGAGAATATAGCCGAAAGAATTCAGCTGGTAAACCAACAGATTCAAAGGGCATGATGATGTTTTCTTGGTCCTTGGATTCATTTCCTTTTCATTTTGGTTAAAAGGGTTTGCGTTTTTTTGGTGTTTTGCAGTCACTCGGGCCGAGAACTTATAGCTTCAGGGCTCGGAATAGATCGGTGGGCGTTCAAGGCGCTTCAGAGAAGAGCACTTCGATAGAAATAACAGGAAGAGACAGACCGGGACTGTTGTCCGATGTCTTTGCTGTCTTAGCCGACAACAATTGCAATGTCGTTGCAGCGGAAGTGTGGACTCACAACTCGAGAATGGCGTCGGTTGTTTACATTACAGACGAGACCACCGGATCGGCCATAGAAGATCCTACCCGGATCTCCAAGATCAAACAGCTCTTGCTCTATGTTCTTGAGGGAAACAGAGACAAGAGGATTGCTAACACAGCTGTCTTGATGGGTTCCACACACAAGGAAAGGAGACTTCATCAGATGATGTATGATAACCGAGACTACGATGTGGCGTATACCGATGACAGGTCGACGAGTGAACGGAGAAAACCCATTGTAACGGTCGAGAATTGCACCGACAAGGCTTACACCGTCGCGAATCTGAGGTGCAGTGATCGGCCTAAGCTGTTTTTCGACGCTGTATGCACATTGACGGATATGCAGTATGTGGTTTATCATGCCACTGTCATAGCCGAAGGACCAGAAGCTTATCAGGTTTTTTTTTCTATGATCATATCTTTGTATATGTATTTGCCCGTATTAACCGTCGGGATTTAGATTCTTGAAAACGTTAATCGGAAGTTGTTACATTTCATCGGATGTATCGGTGTGTAAAACAGGAGTACTACATCAGGCATGTCGATGGTGGCCCGGTTAGTTCAGAAGCCGAGAGACAGAGGCTGATACATTGCTTGGAAGCAGCCATAAAGAGACGAATTTCGGAGGTATGACGTTGAAAAAATCGCTTAGGGGTGGGTATGGGTTGGATATCCGAGATTTTCGGATTATTTGAATTAAAATTTGTTTTCCGTGATCCTAGATCGAATGCTCGAGATTGGTATCTTCCATCCATCATATTACTGCACGGAACATGATATACAGAGAGCGCTTTTGCGGGGTTTTCTTTTCAGGGTATAAGACTAGAGCTATGCGGGGAAGATCGGGTGGGACTTCTATCGGACGTGACCCGAATATTCCGAGAAAACGGTTTATCAGTGACCCGAGCCGAGGTGACAACAAGGGGTTCACAGGCTGTGAACACATTCTACGTGACAGATTCCTCGGGAAATCCCGTGAAGAGGACGGCGATAGAGACGGTGAGAAACGAGATCGGACGAGCGATTCTTCGGGTTAAAGACGAAGGCTTGTCGGAATCTAGAGGAGGAGGAGGAGATGAGACAGGGAAGTTCTTCTCGTTGAGCAATCTGTTCAAGTCAAGGTCGGAAAAGTTTCTGTACAATTTGGGTTTGATAAAATCATATTCTTAAATTAGTTCTAATGTTTGGATTTGGTGTTTTTGTATTTGTGAATAATTGGGGCTGTTTGGTTTATGGGTTAATAAATGTAGTTTAGTTTGTTGTGTATTTATTGATTTGGGGGTCTAGGGTTAGGTTTTGTGTATGTAAATATTGTGTCAATGTGATATTTTATTCATGTTTGTGGTTATAGTATTAGTAATTATGGTGAAAACTTTTGGGGAAATGAGCTTAATTGTGATAAATCACAATAACAAAGTTAGAAATAAGAATTATATAAAATAAAGAAATAAGTATTAAAAGTACATCAAAATTCACATTAAATAAAACAAAAAATGACCCTACAAAGAAGATGGCAATACAAACATTATTACAAAACAAATTGTTTAAAAACAAAATTGAATTATTATTTTTTTCTAAAATATATTCATCTTATATATATGGAGAAAGAGAGAGAGCAATCAATGAACTGAAAAGACCTAATTATACAGATTTTATGAAAGGGTAGAAATATTTTAGGATCCATTTGCATAGATTGGAGGATTTTTCAGAACACTGATTTTAGGTGCATGTTAAATAAATAAGGACAACAATTAAAAAACAAATAACATGTATGTAGAAAGGCATTGTCATATTTATATATATTATATAATATTTTTTTATGTAAATACATATATATATATATATAGAGAGAGAGAGAGAGAGAGAGAGAGAGGTATTAATGGAACCATGTGTGTAGACGTGAAAGTAGAAAGGGAGATTTATATGTGTACGGACTTTGGTCCTTTTTGGCCGACAGAATCTCATTTGGATGTTAGTTAAGGTGCGCGCCAACCCTAAATCCCCCATCGCTAATATCCTCTCTCCATCTTCTTACACGTGGCCTCTTCCTCACCGTTAATTTATCCCCTATATTATAATATATGTATATGTTTACATGTGTATGTATATATGTATGTATGTATAGAGAGAGTTGGTGAGGTGGAGTCCAACGAAGGGCAACCTCAAACTAGTGATGTAAAACAAGTTGGTTCAGACCAGATTGAATCAGTCCAGTTCGTCGTGAGTCACCTTATTTTTGACTCAGTTCATTCCATCCGTTTTTTTACAAACTAGAAAAATTCTGAACCACACCAAATTGTTCGAGCTCCGAGACAGCTCGCAAACCAGTTCATATTTATTTAATTATCCAAAAAAATTTAAAATTATATAAAAATTAATAATTTAAAATTTGCATAACAATAATTTGAATTCATTCAAAATAACATAATACATTTAATATAACAATCTATAAAATTATATTCAAATAAAAAAAATTAATAAAAAATCTTATCTCACGTCACCAAATCAATATAAAAATATTATACACCAACCAACAACAAAATAAAACAAAAAGCATACACCAAGTCCAACATATCATGTATTCTAATTTTCTTCATCATTAGTTTTACCTTAATCTCCACCTTCTTTTCTACTTACATTTTTAATTTCTACAACAAATAGATATTTTTTGTACCAGCTCGTGAGATGGCTAGCGAGCCGATCGAGCTGGTTCGGACTCGTAGCGAGCCGACTCGTTAAGTCCATTTATATTTGGTCTTCTATTTTCTCAGTTCGACTCGCCAAAAAACGAGTCAACCATGAGGTGGTTCACGAACCCGACTCATTTTGACATCACTATCCCAAAATATATGTGACATGGTAAAAAATGATCGTTTGATGTTTGAGTCAAAAGTGGCTCTATTTGGAGATTTGCAATTCAAAACACAAATTACTTTAAAACTTTGGCCAAATTTTTTCACTTCGATATAAATTAGAAATCGAGTTTGGAGTTGAATATGATTTTTCCGTTATTAAAATATAATTTCAGTCCAATTTTAATGTGTTAATAGATTTGAAGAAACAATGAGATCTAAAAAAGACAATTTAGTTATCAATTTTTTTTAAAGAAAATTACGTATAAAAGATAAACATACTAAAAAAATCTCTCTCTCTATATATATGAACAACAAAGGCAAAAAAGAAAATAAAGTCAATGTGAATGAGATATTATATTTCTATATTAGAGGAAGCATTTATGAAAATGGTGTATCAAAAATCGAATAAATATGTAAATAAAAAAAGGTGAATTTAAAATTTCCGGACATGTGGGGATAGATTTATGGACAAGAGGACAAGTAGGGATCACGTGAAAGTGATCGTACAAAGAATCTTCCTCGGTGCACGTGAATGCACTCGCCCATTTCTCCCTTTTTTTTCCTATCAATTGAACTGAAATTAATTACTCTTTATTATCAATTCTTTCTTTATTTCATCTGAAGTATGGAAAATACATGGATATGCATATATATACGGATGATTAAATATTGACAATACTTCATATATTTAATATCTAGTTTTTATATTAATACGAGGAAAAAAATATGATATGCTAATTCTAGAGAGTGTAAATATCTATATTTTCATATATTTAGAACAAATGCAAAAAAAAAAAACTAGAAACAAAAGCGAAATTTTGTAGAAAAATATGTTTCGAAATTATAAAGTTATATATTCATCTATTCATAGCATTGACCCCTATTTGCAAGAGAATATACACTTTGCCATTGAAAAGTTGACTTTTTTCAATCAATTTAGATCATGAATGGTAAAAGTTTTTATTTTGGATTTTTAACTTTTGAATTTCATTAATTTATAAATCTAAAAAAATGTGAATTTTGATTTTTAATTGATTTTTTTTATAAAGTAGATTTCCAGTATTTTAGAAAAACCAAATTAAAAAAAATTTGATTACCAATTTTTTAATTTTTAAAATCTAAAAACTCTGAAAACACTTTGCATTCAACATCTTAATTTAATAAAAGCTGGATTTCAACTTATAAACTGCAAAATCCAAAAACATCATTAAAAAAAAAGGAACAACTGTAAATTTAAACACTGAACCAACAAACAGAAAACTGAAACTCTTCCATCATGTTTTAAGAGAGAGAGAGAGAGGAAACAAAACCTCAAATGGGGGAATGTCCAAAACTGAAGGGAAGAGAGATTACGCATTGGACATGGGAAGCTGACCGCAGTCGGCAATGACGACTTTCTTCCTCGGACGGTCTCCTCTGTCTGTCTCTTGTGACTCTATCAGCTTCACCACCTCCATTCCCTCCACCACTTGCCCAAACACCACGTGTCTCCCGTCGAGCCATGGTGTCTAGGCACATATACCCAATATTTCCCGACATCCGCACGTCAATACACACACACATACACACAACGTGTCTCAAAATTCATTGCAAATGTATCCTACTTCTGATGAAATCCAAAGCTGTAAAAAGGTTTTGGACAACGGGTGGATGGGCACGAGACAATGGCACCCGACACCTTTAACGAATAGTTTGATAAAAATGGTTAAGAGTTTGTGCACCTTACAGTATCACTCAATGGATCAACTCTATATGATTCTGCAAATGTGATGTTTAATGGCTCAATGCTACCCTAGACCAGACAGTAACAAGGTCAAAGGTTGATCTAAGATACTAACAAATACCATCTTCTCAACATGTGTCCTCAAGATGTGTATGTATATAATTTCCTCGCTTCTATGGATCATTCGGACAGGAAAAAGAGAGTAAAATCGGGTGTGTTCACGAGTGATGCTGTGCCCACATGCTTGCATGCATTTACAGTTCATCTTCTAAACACACAATGCACTTCTATTAACAGAACTTGACCCAGAGGGAAAGGGTTCAGCTCTTACCTTGACAGTGCAGATGAAAAATTGACTTCCATTTGTATTTGGGCCAGCATTTGCCATGCTGACAACTCCTGGTCCGCTATGCGATACTGAAGTAAAATTGCATTTCAGTAACTCACAAAGATTTATAGAACAGAAAGTTTTTCAGTAAAAAGTTAAGACAGATGAATGTTTGGTTGGAGTTTACTTTACACTACAAAAAAAAAAACGTTTGGATATCAGAATGCGCAGCTGCAAAAAAAGGAAAAGAAGGAAACAGATCTATACAACAAATCAGGATAAACTTACACTTGAAATTCTCGTCTTTGAACGTCCGGCCATATACACTTTTCCCGCCAGTTCCCTGCTCCAAAACTCGACTCCCATATGATTAGAACATACTCACTATAGCAGATACTAGAAAGGTCATGAGGTTACTGAGACAGGATACAAGAGATAACAAAGTTGTTTCTGTAGACAAGGAGCACAGATTCAACAGCAAGTTCGTTATTACAACTTCAACCTTGCACAAGTGTTACTTATCTGGAAAACTAAAGAGTTAAAAACGAACATCACATGTGATTCCGAATCCACTGATTTCACATTCAGACAACAAATTGATATGGGGTCAGCTAGGTAGTAAAACGAAGCACGCTGTGCAAAGCGCCACAAAAGGGCAGGCTTTCTCTTGCTACTGTACTAAAAACATGCAGTTTTAGTTTACAGCAACTTTAAGCGATAGCTCCAAGCGAAAAGCTTTCTCTACTAGCAAGATAAGAATCAAATAGAAAGAAACTAGTGAGCAGGAATCTTCTGCTTATTTTAAATCTCTCAATGTGAAGCACACAATGTGTTGAGCATGTTTGTACCAGAAATTAACCAATTAAGTTAAATATAAACAGAACCATGGAATCATTCAATTTCCGAGAGGGGACTCACATTGCCCTTCTCAAAATCTCCTCCCTGAATCATGAAATCTTTGATGACACGATGGAATGTAGAGCCCTTGTAGCCAAAGCCCTTGTCACCTGATCAAGATTCATCACAGAGATGAATCCTTGAGAAACCAAGCTCAGATGTAATGGGAAGAACATATGATAGAGAACCTACCCGTGCAAAGAGCACGGAAATTTTCCGCGGTTTGGGGCACATCGTCGCCATATAATCCAATGACAATCCTCCCAGCGAGCTTTCCCACCGGATTTCCAACGCTTATATCGAAATACACCTTGTGGGTTATCTTCGATTGAACATCTGCTACCTAAAAACCGAAACCACAAGTAAAATTCCTGAGCCTAAGCTACACGAATCTAACTGTGAGCCCTAAAATTCAGCCGTATCGACTTGTTGATTAACGATTCAAACTCAAGTCAGTCACCTCTCAAAATCACTTCATCGGTTCTTATAAATCCACATCCGTTAAAAAAATTTGACAGATGGAGAAATCAGACCCCCTAACCTCGGAACTAGCTTGAACCGAGAAGTAGCGGTTGGTTCGGCTCGTAACGAGGCACGATGAGCCAGAGAAGGATCGCTGGCACGAAAACATGGCGGAATTGAAAGCGAATCTCTTCCCTAGTCGGAGAGAACTACATGTGGGAGCAGCAATTTTGGGTTGCGTAAAGCTCCGTGGAGCAGCAGAGAGTGACCTCGCGTTTGACTAGAAGGACGAAATCGATAGAAATGAGCAGTAGAGAAGATAATCACAAACAAAGGTAAAACAAAAACATGGAAAGAGAAGAGAGATACCAGGGTTGTGAATGAAGCCGCCATTGAAGCTCGACAAAAAAAAAACCGCCGTGCTTCGCCTTTTCTTTTGAGATTCTTCAGGTAGATGATGAGGATGACTGCCACCGTCGATAAGCAAAGCAGAACTAAATCATCTCTGGGGCCTGGGTTAGATATTTCTGACCGCAATTACGATAATACCCCTGTACATGCCTATACAATTCTTATATATTTTCTTAAAATATGATGGGCCGCTTGGCTCACCGGTGTAATCATTTACCATGGTAGTGATCCCTAGATAATAGATCATAGTACAGTTAAAAAAACACAAAATATCCTTACACTCTTCCCATTTTTCCATTTGTTTGTAAGTCCGAAAATACGTAAAAATCCAGAAAACCACAACCGATTTTGTTTGTGTAGATAGATTCAAATACACATCTTATCGTTTTTATTTGTTTGTTCTTGATAAAATATATCGTTAGATCCTTGTGATATTAATTTCTGCATAAAATTCTATTAATTGTTTATCAAGTGGTATCAGAGCAAAACGATTATGTTTTATTAAGAACTTTGAAACAATTTCGTAAATTAACATGTGATGTTTGGGTTTCTGTAAGTATCTTAAAACCCGTTTGGCTGCTTTCCAATGATCCATCTCTGGGTTATGTAGATATCTTCCCAACATCCCAACTACATACGTAATATCCGGACGCGTACACACCTGAGCATACATGAGACTTTCTACAGCCAATACATAAGGAATCTCTTGCATTTGTTTTTGCTCAAATTCATTTCTTGGACATTGTACAATACAAAATTTGTCTCTTTTAGCAATAGGAGTGTTCCCTTCTTTGCAGTTTTTCATCCCAAACTTCATTAATATCTTTTCGATATAGTTCTTTTGTGATAATCCAAGTATACTCCGATGTGACAGCCCATGATACCGTAAGAGGGCGGAGAGTAATTGCTGGTGTGAGAGACACGGATAAGGAGGGGCTCCTGATGAGCTTCTGGATAGGGGTACAGGGATGAATCGAACGCACCAAAATGAGAGAGATCCGAGGGCTATGTAGATATGGGACTACACAGTCAAAGATAACTTAAAAGAATTAATTGAGCTACTCATAGCAACAAGATGCATCTACCTTTTCGGTTACCCATCTCGAGAGAACTCCAAAATTAAGCATGTTCGCTCTGGAGTAGTCTTAGGATGGGTGACCTCCTGGAAAGTACTTTTCGGGATATGTGCAAGTGAGGACAAAACACGCTAAAAGGTCTCATATTGGTGTGTGAGAATAGTTCTATCATTCCGTAGCCGTCTCGGAGTGTTACAAATGGTATCAAAGCCGGTACTCTCCTAGGACGGTGTGGTTCAAGGACGAACCAGGCGGAAGCTGGTGGGCCTGTGATAGGCCATGATATCATAAGAGGGCAGAGAGTGAACGCTGGTGTGAGAGGCACGGACAAGGAGCGGCTCCTGTCGAGCTTCTGGGTAGGGGTATAGGGATGAATCAAACGCACCGGAATGACAGAGATCCGAGGGCTGTGTAGGTATGGGACTACACAGTCAAAGATAACTTAAAAGAATTAATTGAGCTACTCATAGCAACAAGATGCATCTATCTTTTCGCTTACCCATCTCGAGAGAACTCCAAAGTTAAGTGTGCTCACTCTGGAGTAGTCTTAGGATAGGTGACCTCCTGAGAAGTACTTTCCGGGATGGGTGCGAGTGAGGACAAAACACGCTAAAAGGTCTCGTGTTGTTGTGTGAGGATAGTTCTATCATTCCATAGTGGCTTCGGGGCGTTACACCCGAGTTCTATCTCGATGTATTTGAATTCCTAATACAAAAGCGGCGTTTCCCAAATCTTTCATTTCAAAGTTCTTTGACAGAAAAGCCTTAGTCCCATTTAACATCCCTATATCATTAGAGGCAATTAGTATGTCATTGACATACAATATTAATAAGACGAACTTACTCCCACTGAACGTATGGTATACGCATTCTTCTACAGCATTTGTTTCAAAACCGTATGAACAAATAATCTGTCAAAATTTGCAATACCATTGGCGGGATACTTATTTAAGCCCGTAGATGGATTTCTTTAATTTACAAACCATTTTCTTTCAATCACCGATCACAAAGTTTTCTGGTTGTACCATATAGATTGTTTCATTAATGTCTCCATTAAGAAACGATGTATTTACATCTATCTGGTGTAACTCTAAATCATAATGAACTATAAGTGTCATTATTGTTCTGGACAAGTCTTTCGAAGATAACGGAGAGAAAGTCTCTTTATAGTCAACTCCTTCTTTCTTTGTAAATTCTTTTGCTACAAGACGAGCTTTATACTTATCCACATTTCCTTTAGAATCCCGTATGGTTTTAAATATCCATTTGCAATCTACGGGTTTGATACGTCCAGGTAATGGAACAAGTTCCCAGACATTGTTGTCTTGCATGTATTTATACTCTTCATTCATGGCTTCAAGCCAATTTTGAGAGTTTGAATTTTGCGTATATAGCCTGACGAAAATTTATTAGATTATTTTCTAATAACCCAACATTTTCTCCAATACGACATAATCGTCTGGAATCATTTTTTTCCTTACTCTAGTTGACTTTTTTTATGGCAACTGTTCTTGAGGTTGTTCATCCGAAATAACCTCTTGAATTGGTTCATCCGGAATAATCTCTTGAGTCAGTGTATGGAGTTGCATGTTATCTGATTGATCTAGATGTGATATCATGACCAATTATTAGAGGAAGATGAACAATTCTTCTTCAAATGCAACTTCTCGCACCTTATCTCCACTCTCAAACTCAATATCCTCAAAGAAATGGGTTGTTCCAGTTTCGAATATTGATCTATTTTTGGGATCATAAAACTTGTACCTCCTGGATTTTTTTAAATACCCAACGAAATAGTAACTAATTGTACGCGAGTCTAGTTTATTTTCTGATGGCTTGTAAGACCTTACTTCTGCTGGACAATCTCATACATGCAAATGCTTTAGGTTTAGTTTTTTACCCATTCAAAGTTCATAAGGAGACTTATTAGTTGCTTTTGTAGGAACTCTGTTGAAGATATATGCAGCGATTTTAATCGCTTCTCCCCATAATGACTCTGGTAATGTAGAGTGATTTATCATACTCTTTACCATATCTTTAAGAGTCTTGTTTCTACATTTAGATACACCGTTCATACTTGGAGTTCTAGGCATGGTATACTGAGGTACTATTCCACATTTATCAAGGAATTTAGCTAAAAGACCCAGACGTTGTTCACTAGATCCATCATAGCGACCATAGTATTTGCCACCACGATCGGATCTTACTGCTTTAATCCCTTTATCTAGTTGATTCTCAACTTCAGCTTTATAGGATTTGAACATGTCCAAAACCTGGGACTTCTCATATATTAGGTACAAATATCCATATCTTGAGTAATCGTCTATGAACAAAATAAAATATTATTGACCATTCTAAGATTCCGTAGGAAATGGTCCACAAATATCCGTATGTATTAGTTCTAAGACATCACTGCTTATGTTTGCACCTAACCGTATTTGATTTATTTGTTTCCCCTTAATGTATTCCTGTGACAACCCATAGTACCGTAGGAGGACGGGGAGTGATCGCCGGTGCAGAGGCAAGGAAAAGGGGCGGTTCCTGACGAGCTTCTGGGTAGGGGGTACAGGGATGAATCGAACACACCGGAATGAGAGAGATTCGAGGGCTGTATAGGTATGGAACTATACAGTCTAAGATAACATAAAAGAATTAGTTGAGCTACTCATAGCAATAAGGTGCACCTACCTTTTTGGTTGACTATCCCGAGAGAACTTCAAAGTTAAGCGTGCTGGCTCTGGAGCAATCTCAGGATGGGTGACCTACTGGGAAGTGTCTCGGTATGCGTGTGAGTGAGGACAAAACACGCTGAAAGGTCTGGGTTGCTGTGTGAGGGCAGTTTCGATAATTCATAGCGGTCGCGGGTCGTTACAGATGGTATCAGAGCCGGTACTCTCCCAGTACGGTGTGGTTCGAGGACGAACCAGGCGGAAGCTGGTGGGCCTGTGACAACCCATAGTACCGTAGGAGGGCGGGGAGTGATCGCCGGTGCAGAGGCACGGACAAGGGGCGGCTCCTGACGAGCTTCTGGGTAGGGGGTACAGGGATGAATCGAACACACCGGAATGAGAGAGATCCGAGGGTTGTATAGGTGTGGGACTATACAGTCTAAGATAACATAAAAGAATTAGTTGAGCTACTCATAGCAACAAGGTGCACCTACCTTTTTGGTTGACTATCCCGAGAGAACTCCAAAGTTAAGCGTGCTGGCTCTGGAGCAATCTCAGGATGGGTGACCTACTGGGAAGTGTCTCGGTATGCGTGCGAGTGAGGACAAAACACGCTGAAAGGTCTGGGTTGCTGTGTGAGGGCAGTTTCGACAATTCGTAGCGGTCGCGGGTCGTTACATATTCAACACAAACTTGAAAATGTGTTAAGTCGGGTATGTCAAGAATTCCATCTGCAACTTAGCGTTCTATCCTTTGTTTGGATATGTGACCTAATCGCTTATGCTATAAGTTTGTAGAAATCTTGTCAATTAATTTTCTCTTTGTACCATGGGTTTTAACATGTAAGGTTTCATGATATGAAGTGATTGTATCAAACACATATAGATTATCATGACTAGAGAGAGTATCAGTACCAAGTAAATTTGAATCACGGAAAAGACGAAATAAACCATTTCCAAATGAACAAGAATAACTGAATTTTTCCAATGTAGAAATAGAAACCAAATTCCGTCTAAATGACGGTACAACAAATATCTCATCCAAATCCAAATAAAAATTAGAACTCAATAATACTCTAAAAATGCAGATAGCCTCCACTTCAACTTTATTATCGTCGCCTACATAGATGAATCTTTCAGCATCACTTGGTTTTCGATGGCTTAGGCAACCCTGCATTGATACACTTATGTGAGTAGTAGCATCAGAAGCTACCCACCAAGTGTATCTAGTTACAGAAGTTAAATTAACTTCAAAACAAACCAGAGTCAGAAGTCTATCTTTCTTGGCAAATCAGTCATGATAGGCAGTGCAATACTTTTTCATTTGTCTCATCATCTTACAAAAGAAGCACGAACCACTCTTATCCTGCTTTTTTTGTATCTTCTTGATGGACCATTAGCAATATCCTTTTTCTGAGGACGTTTCTTATTCTTGTCCTTTCTAGAGACCGCAAGATGAGCACTTTTCGATTTTTCAAGCTTCAATCGTTCTTCTTCTTGCACACAATGCGAAATGAGCTCGTTAAGAGACCATTTGGCTTGTTGACAGTTATATATGATCCTAAAGGATCCATACTGTGCAGAAAGAGACAACAATATCAAGTGCACTAGTAAGTCATGAGACAAATCTATCTTGAATGCCTTGAGTTGTGAAGCAAGATTAGACATCTCCATGATGTATTTCCGAATGTTCCCATTTCTCTTATACATTTTGGAAATTAGTTTCATCAAAAGCGAGTTTGTTTCCTGCTTTTCATTTCTTTCAAAACGAGCCGCTACTCCTTTCATGAACTTACTCGTGTTCTCATCATCATAGATGGAACCTCCGAAAACCTCTGGAATTATACGTTTCATGATCATAAGGTACATGCGATTAGAACGCTCCCAACGTTCATGTTCTTTTTGCTGATCATCGGTACTTTCTGGTGTAAGATCAGCAGGAGCATCAACACGTATGGCCAAATCCAGATCCATACAACTGAGAACTATTATGAGGTTCTCTTTCCATGCCTTAAATTTTTTTTTTCCGTAAGCATTAGGACCGAATTCAGCAAAGCTGAAATGTTTGTTGCAGTAGCAATAGCTGAATGAAAAAAAAAATCAGTTATGTATGCAAATAATGAAAACATATACAATACACCATACAATATTGACATTCTATCTTTGGATCGAAAGATCATCTTGTAAGCGGCATATTCGACATAATAATCAAATCATAAATATCTCATATAATCTATTGAATTTTTTTGGGGTCGATTCAATAATCATATATCATCCTTATGATATTCTGATTTATTACTTAATATAATTAGTAAATTTCGGCTAAAAAATTTCTTCCTTTGGGCCGATAATTTTTTCGCATGAAATTTATACATAAAAATATTCTTTATAATATTCTCCGAATGAATTAATTTTATTGACATCAGAACTTAAATTGGCAAAGTGATGTCTCAAATTAATCAAATAGAATATTAATAGCTTAATTTGTCATTATTCAAATACATATATACATATAGTTGTAATCACATACAAATCAATATACTTCACCATTATTATTATGCCTAACTAGTCACGATCTGCTTCTGCATGAATATCTATGGTGTAACTTTCGTCGCACAACGTGTACTCGCACCCGTCTGTTTTGAAATGGGCTTTCAAGCCCTAATCCGTATGTCCGAATTGATCATTCTGAATCGGGCTATCAAGTCGTACTCCATATGTTCATACCGTAATGGGCTTCCAAGCCCAAATCCTTTTTTTTTAAATACATATATATATATATACATATATTTTAAAAATAATTCTGATAATTATAACATTTGTAACGAAATCTAATATATACCAAAACCATATATAATCTTATTAATAAAATTAAATCAAAACAAATTACATTTCTCAAAAAAAATTTTGAAACTGAATTCTCTAGGTCATAAATATCAAATTTTTATAATTAATTCGAGATTTATCCCCATAATCAAATGCTCAATTTCAGTTTTATAAAATCTCAAAAAATTGAAATTAATTAGCAAATAATCATATAATTGGAAACTAATTAGTAAATAATCATATAATTGGAAAACTTTTAGCAGATTTTCAAATCTTTTTCCGTTACCCAGCAAACTGTGTCGAAACTTTTTCCAAAAATACATCTGATTTAGCAAAAACAAATGTTCAAAACAAAACAAATATTACCTTTTGTTATTTGAATATTTGTTATTACCTTAAATATAATGAACACAGGAATACGGTTCATACGGAGGTCACACAGATTCAAATTACGAACGTAAATTACTCGCACACTTTTATTCTCGGTCGTGACAATTATCAGGTATGATATGCAAACAAGACAAGACTAGATATACAGATAAGATATGACAAAGCAAGATCTTATTCCAAAGTTCATAATTAAGTAAATTCATATGCATTCGTGTGATAAAACTAAATAAACAGAAAATTAATTCTTTTAATATATATATATATATATATATATATATAACTATTATCCATATATACTAAACTTGATTTCACGTACAAACACAAACACATAGGCAACCCTGCATTGATACACTTATG